ACATATATATATGTATATATATATATGTATATATATATATACATATATATATACATATATATATATATATATATATGTATATATATATATATATACATATATATATATATACATATATATATATGTATGTATATATAGAGTGAGATCCACTACATTAACATTTCTCAGTGAATGACTTTCTATTTCCTCTACTTTCTATTTTCTAACGTTAGACCCAATGTCAGCGTCTAACTCAGTCAATGTCTTCCAGTCAGTCTGAGATAGCCAGACTAATGTTAGTCTGCAGACTAAACTATAGGATCCATCGGCTATAGATTGATTTATTGCTTAGTTCATCCACTGACTGGGAATTTACCAGTGGAACGTCTTCCTTCAGACAGAAAACTGCTGGTTTTAGCAGCTAAATGCTGCACAAAAGGTCAAACTATCAAACTCAAACTATATGAAAAGAAAATATGTTTTGGAAAATATATTTTGTTTCACTATAATTTAAACAAAGGACAGATTATTTTTATGCTGAGAATTTATTTTTCATTCATGTTTACATATAATGACAACTATGGTCCAAATATTCATGCTTTGATTTGCTGCTTAATCCTGAAAGATCAGGGAGAAAAACAAAGATTATTTATTAAACTGCAGGATTTTCCTGTTATATTTGAAATATCTAGTGGGAGTGATATGTTTGCTTCTTCTTGTGGGCCCCCCCCCCCCCCCCCCCCACCTCAGTCAAGGGCTGTTGGAATCTTCCTAACGATACCCCCCCCCCCCGGATTAAGCAGTTTGACCTGTTTGAGGTTTGATGTATTGTTTTTTATTACTATGCGTCACTGAGTCAGGACTGAATTATTTAACAACCAGCCGCCTCATAGTCAGTTTATCTTCTGCATAAAACTCATTTTTTATGAATAAAAATCCTTAAATTAATGAGAAAATGAATAAGTCTAAACAGGAAAGAAGCTCAGTAGATCAGCAAATCTAGAACATCTTTCCTCCTGCCAGCAGCAGCGTCTCAGATGGAAGTTTGTTCCCTCAAATTGCTTTTTCTCCTTCAGGTTTCTTTAGAGAGTCGTCCTTCAGGGAACAATCAGCTGACCCTTCAGCTTTGTTCAGCTCTGCTAATAACCTGCAGCCAAGGGCAGCACCTGAACGCCTCGCAGGCCCATAGAAGCCAGAAACCTGCCGCACTGATGAGTTATCGATCGGAGCTCTGGGATGGCGCCCAGTTTGGAGGACAGGCAGCAGAATGCGGCTCTGACAGGAATCAGAAACGGTTCGGATCCATGGCTGGTGGTACGCTTGGTTTCAGTTTGTTTGCAGCACAGACGGGTGGGCTGCCTGCTTGTTGCTGTTCTTACAGCAGAGCTTTATTTACTGCTCTGCATGTTTCTCTGAAACACTGAAATCATCTGAAACATGAAACGATTTCTATGATTTCATCAATAATCAATCATTAGATGCTTTAAATGTTGGTTTTATTGCAGCTTTAATCATCATAGAAGAAGAAGTTCAGGAAGAAAAACTGATTCAGTCTTTAAGGTTTCAGATCAACAACAGAGTTAGAAATAAACATCCTCCTCCTGACCTCTGACCCACACAGGTGGTTCTGTCCGTGGTTCTGTCTGGGTTCTGTCAGTGGGACCGTGGTTCTGTCCGTGGTTCTGTCAGTGGGACCGTGGTTCTGTCTGGGTTCTGTCATTGGGACCGTGGTTCTGTCAGTGGTTCTGTCTGGGTTCTGTCTGGGTTCTGTCAGTGGTTCTGTCCGTGGTTCTGTCCGTGGTTCTGTCTGGGTTCTGTCAGTGGAACCGTGGTTCTGTCCGTGGTTCTGTCCGTGGTTCTGTCAGTGGTTCTGTCTGGGTTCTGTCTGGGTTCTGTCAGTGGTTCTGTCCGTGGTTCTGACCGTGGTTCTGTCTGGGTTCTGTCATTGGGACCGTGGTTCTGTCCGTGGTTCTGTCAGTGGGACCGTGGTTCTGTCTGGGTTCTGTCATTGGGACCGTGGTTCTGTCTGGGTTCTGTCAGTGGTTCTGTCTGGGTTCTGTCAGTGGGACCGTGGTTCTGTCCGTGGTTCTGTCAGTGGGACCGTGGTTCTGTCTGGGTTCTGTCAGTGGTTCTGTCCGTGGTTCTGTCAGTGGGACCGTGGTTCTGTCTGGGTTCTGTCAGTGGTTCTGTCTGGGTTCTGTCCGTGGTTCTGTCTGGGTTCTGTCAGTGGGACCGTGGTTCTGTCCGTGGTTCTGTCAGTGGGACCGTGGTTCTGTCTGGGTTCTGTCATTGGGACCGTGGTTCTGTCAGTGGTTCTGTCTGGGTTCTGTCTGGGTTCTGTCAGTGGTTCTGTCCGTGGTTCTGTCCGTGGTTCTGTCTGGGTTCTGTCAGTGGAACCGTGGTTCTGTCCGTGGTTCTGTCCGTGGTTCTGTCAGTGGTTCTGTCTGGGTTCTGTCTGGGTTCTGTCAGTGGTTCTGTCCGTGGTTCTGACCGTGGTTCTGTCTGGGTTCTGTCATTGGGACCGTGGTTCTGTCCGTGGTTCTGTCAGTGGGACCGTGGTTCTGTCTGGGTTCTGTCATTGGGACCGTGGTTCTGTCCGTGGTTCTGTCTGGGTTCTGTCAGTGGAACCGTGGTTCTGTCTGGGTTCTGTCAGTGGGACCGTGGTTCTGTCCGTGGTTCTGTCAGTGGGACCGTGGTTCTGTCTGGGTTCTGTCATTGGGACCGTGGTTCTGTCCGTGGTTCTGTCTGGGTTCTGTCAGTGGAACCGTGGTTCTGTCTGGGTTCTGTCAGTGGTTCTGTCATTGGGACCGTGGTTCTGTCAGTGGTTCTGTCATTGGGACCGTGGTTCTGTCAGTGGTTCTGTCTGGGTTCTGTCATTGGGACCGTGGTTCTGTCAGTGGTTCTGTCTGGGTTCTGTCAGTGGGACCGTGGTTCTGTCAGTGGTTCTGTCTGGGTTCTGTCTGGGTTCTGTCAGTGGTTCTGTCAGTGGTTCTGTCTGTGGTTCTGTCCGTGGTTCTGTCTGGGTTCTGTCTGGGTTCTGTCAGTGGTTCTGTCCGTGGTTCTGTCAGTGGTTCTGTCTGGGTTCTGTCTGGGTTCTGTCAGTGGTTCTGTCAGTGGTTCTGTCCGTGGTTCTGTCTGGGTTCTGTCAGTGGAACCGTGGTTCTGTCTGGGTTCTGTCAGTGGTTCTGTCATTGGGACCGTGGTTCTGTCAGTGGTTCTGTCTGGGTTCTGTCATTGGGACCGTGGTTCTGTCAGTGGTTCTGTCTGGGTTCTGTCAGTGGTTCTGTCAGTGGTTCTGTCTGGGTTCTGTCAGTGGTTCTGTCAGTGGTTCTGTCAGTGGTTCTGTCTGGGTTCTGTCAGTGGTTCTGTCTGGGTTCTGTCAGTGGTTCTGTCAGTGGTTCTGTCTGGGTTCTGTCCGTGGTTCTGTCCGTGGTTCTGTCTGGGTTCTGTCTGGGTTCTGTCAGTGGTTCTGTCTGGGTTCTGTCCGTGGTTCTGTCCGTGGTTCTGTCTGGGTTCTGTCAGTGGGACCGTGGTTCTGTCCGTGGTTCTGTCCGTGGTTCTGTCTGGGTTCTGTCTGGGTTCTGTCAGTGGTTCTGTCTGGGTTCTGTCAGTGGTTCTGTCTGGGTTCTGTCAGTGGTTCTGTCAGTGGTTCTGTCTGGGTTCTGTCCGTGGTTCTGTCCGTGGTTCTGTCTGGGTTCTGTCTGGGTTCTGTCAGTGGTTCTGTCTGGGTTCTGTCCGTGGTTCTGTCAGTGGTTCTGTCTGGGTTCTGTCTGGGTTCTGTCAGTGGTTCTGTCAGTGGTTCTGTCTGGGTTCTGTCCGTGGTTCTGTCCGTGGTTCTGTCTGGGTTCTGTCTGGGTTCTGTCAGTGGAACCGTGGTTCTGTCTGGGTTCTGTCAGTGGTTCTGTCAGTGGTTCTGTCTGGGTTCTGTCCGTGGTTCTGTCCGTGGTTCTGTCTGGGTTCTGTCCGTGGGACCGTGGTTCTGTCTGGGTTCTGTCAGTGGGACCGTGGTTCTGTCTGGGTTCTGTCAGTGGGACCGTGGTTCTGTCAGTGGGACCGTGGTTCTGTCCGTGGTTCTGTCTGGGTTCTGTCAGTGGGACCGTGGTTCTGTCCGTGGGACCGTGGTTCTGTCCGTGGTTCTGTCTGGGTTCTGTCAGTGGGACCGTGGTTCTGTCAGTGGGACCGTGGTTCTGTCCGTGGTTCTGTCTGGGTTCTGTCAGTGGGACCGTGGTTCTGTCTGGGTTCTGTCAGTGGGACCGTGGTTCTGTCTGGGTTCTGTCAGTGGGACCGTGGTTCTGTCAGTGGGACCGTGGTTCTGTCCGTGGTTCTGTCTGGGTTCTGTCAGTGGGACCGTGGTTCTGTCCGTGGTTCTGTCTGGGTTCTGTCAGTGGTTCTGTCTGGGTTCTGTCCGTGGTTCTGTCCGTGGTTCTGTCTGGGTTCTGTCAGTGGAACCGTGGTTCTGTCAGTGGAACCGTGGTTCTGTCAGTGGAACCGTGGTTCTGTCCGTGGTTCTGTCAGTGGTTCTGTCTGGGTTCTGTCAGTGGAACCGTGGTTCTGTCAGTGGAACCGTGGTTCTGTCAGTGGAACCGTGGTTCTGTCCATGGTTCTGTCAGTGGTTCTGTCTGGGTTCTGTCAGTGGAACCGTGGTTCTGTCAGTGGGACCGTGGTTCTGTCCGTGGTTCTGTCTGGGTTCTGTCAGTGGGACCGTGGTTCTGTCCGTGGTTCTGTCTGGGTTCTGTCAGTGGTTCTGTCTGGGTTCTGTCCGTGGTTCTGTCCGTGGTTCTGTCTGGGTTCTGTCAGTGGAACCGTGGTTCTGTCAGTGGAACCGTGGTTCTGTCAGTGGAACCGTGGTTCTGTCCGTGGTTCTGTCAGTGGTTCTGTCTGGGTTCTGTCAGTGGAACCGTGGTTCTGTCAGTGGAACCGTGGTTCTGTCCGTGGTTCTGTCAGTGGTTCTGTCTGGGTTCTGTCAGTGGGACCGTGGTTCTGTCAGTGGGACCGTGGTTCTGTCCGTGGTTCTGTCTGGGTTCTGTCAGTGGTTCTGTCTGGGTTCTGTCCGTGGTTCTGTCCGTGGTTCTGTCTGGGTTCTGTCAGTGGAACCGTGGTTCTGTCAGTGGAACCGTGGTTCTGTCCGTGGTTCTGTCAGTGGTTCTGTCTGGGTTCTGTCAGTGACAGTGACCCCCCCAGCGTTCCCCCCCTGCCTGTGGACCAGAACCTCGGCCCGCTCCATCAGAGGCAGTTAGCTGCTGTTCCTGCAGCGGCCACCAGGTGGCAGCCTGGCTCTCCGTCGGCGCCTGATCCTCCAACTTCCTCATCTTCAGCAGACCCCCGGTGCATTCTGGGTAATCAGGTCGGGGCAGGTCCGTCCTCACCTTCATCCTCTTCTCCTCTTCCTCTCCTGTGGCTCTGAGAACAAAGATCAACGTTCTGAGCTCAGCTGGTTCCAGCAGACAGACTGACCGTACTGGATAGAACCCAATATATCCGTTACTGGATAGAACCCAATATATCCGTTACTGGATAGAACCCAATATATCCGTTACTGGATAGAACCCAGTATATCCGTTACTGGATAGAACCCAGTATATCCGTTACTGGATAGAACCCAATATATCCGTTACTGGATAGAACCCAATATATCCGTTACTGGATAGAACCCAATATATCCGTTACTGGATAGAACCCAATATATCCGTTACTGGATAGAACCCAATATATCCGTTACTGGATAGAACCCAGTATATCCGTTACTGGATAGAACCCAATATATCCGTTACTGGATAGAACCCAATATATCCGTTACTGGATAGAACCCAATATATCCGTTACTGGATAGAACCCAATATATCCGTTACTGGATAGAACCCAATATATCCGTTACTGGATAGAACCCAATATATCCGTTACTGGATAGAACCCAATATATCCGTTACTGGATAGAACCCAATATATCCGTTACTGGATAGAACCCAATATATCCGTTACTGGATAGAACCCAATATATCCGTTACTGGATAGAACCCAATATATCCGTTACTGGATAGAACCCAATATATCCGTTACTGGATAGAACCCAATATATCCGTTACTGGATAGAACCCAATATATCCGTTACTGGATAGAACCCAATATATCCGTTACTGGATAGAACCCAATATATCCGTTACTGGATAGAACCCAGTATATCCGTTACTGGATAGAACCCAGTATATCCGTTACTGGATAGAACCCAGTATATCCGTTACTGGATAGAACCCAATATATCCGTTACTGGATAGAACCCAATATATCCGTTACTGGATAGAACCTAACGGAATATCTTCAGAACGGCTCCAAATGACACTAAACTCATATGGGAGAGTAGAACATGATGGAATAACGGAAAATCGAGGACCCAATGGAAAAAAAACGAAATTCCCCTTTAAAATAAGAAAAAACTGCATTGTTTTATTTCAAGTACTCATATGGTACTCCGGCCGCGTACACCATGGACGTAGCATGTAAACCAGCCTCCGCTGGTTGCGGTCTGAATGTAGCTTCAGGGTTAGAGGTCCAGCTGTCTTCCATCCAAGGTCGGGGGTGTTGGCCTAGTGGTTAGAGCAGTGCTCTGTGCTCTAAGAAGGCAGCCGGTACCCGGTTCGATTCCCGCAGCCTGCACTGTGGCTCTCTGAGCAACACCCTGAACCATAACATGTCCAGCATGTGAGCGGAGAGCCGTTCTCAATTCAAAGGCTGGAGCGAGGATTTCGCTTCGCTCCGATGCGCTCACAGCGTTAATTAAAAATGTTGGATTATAAAATTTGTAAAATAACATTTATTTGATTTAAGTGTGATAAAAAGTGGGATAAAATATCATAAAAACAAACACTAACTATAGCTATAAAAATACAGAGTGGGTTTACATGAAGGGATCTTTGTGGTTAGAGCCTGTTTTTAAAATTAACAGCATGAATGCATCATTCGCTATTATCTCATTAGCAATGGAACTGAAAGTGACCTTTTTAATGTGATTTAGTGAAATAAATGAATAATTAAACAGGAAACAACATGAAGGAGCGAGGTGTTACGTTCACAGCTGCATCATTTAACAGCCAGTTAAATAAAACGATCCACATGAATCGGTTACATCAGTAAATCAAACGCCGTGTGTCGCAGCGCCGTGACATCATCCTGTTTGACAGGACGGATTGTGCTTCCTGGACGGATCGGGCAGTGACAGGTGCTTCAGATACACCAGAGGAGCCGCGCCCTGAAGCCTGCTGGGCTTCAGTGCACAGCTAGAAACATGGACGCCAGCGCTGACCACGGTTAAAGGAGGGAAAGAGGCCTGAGCTAACGGCTAATAGTGCAGCTAACGCTGAGCTAGAGAGGATTCAAACAGGGAGCTGTGCGCTAGCAGCAGGCTAACACAGCTGCAGAGCAGAGGACAGGTGTGTGTCTGTTACCTGCAGGTTCTGGTAGTGTGTGTGCGTCCTGCAGTGTGTGTGGCGAGCTGCCGTCTCTCTGTAGAAGAACTTTTTGCAGAGCAGACAAACGAATCCATGAACCGGAACCACGAAGCTGCTTCCTGCAAACACAGTCCGGTTAAACTGGATCAGTCCTTCATCACCTCTCGGAGGTGTCCACCGGGGGGCGCCGCGGCCGGAGTACCGTAGGTCCGCTGGGGGTCGAACTCCTCCTCCTGCTCCTTGGAATCAACAGTCTGTAAGGGAGCAGTCATCCGGGTCAGAGAGAGGGAACGGGTTCCAGAGCTGAGAGCCTGAAGCAGAACAAACCTCAGACCGCTCCTCATCTTCATCATCATCATCTACCACCTCCACCTCCTCCTCCTCCTGGAAGCAGCCCACAGCATCAACAGTGATGAGCTCCTCCTCCTGCTCCTCCTCCAGCTGCACCTGTGGGGGAAAGCAGAGGCTGAGCATCTTTAGCTGCCATCAGGTCAGACTCTCACAGGTATTAAAGCTCTGATCTTCCTCATCAACGCGTTTTTCTGCGCCATGTTTTTCTCTCCCTCTCTGTTTACATTTGATCACTGCTGCACTTTAAGAAACGCAAAAATAAACGACAATTAAAGTCGTCTAAGTCTGAAAGGCTAAATCTGCATCAGAGCTTCTGCTGCTCACTGATCTCTGTTTATTCCCTGGATTCTGATTGGCCGTTGGAAGGACGTGGGGGAGTGAAGCCATCGGCCGCCATATTGGTACTCCCTAGTTAGAGCGGTATCAACGTAAACAATTGTTGCGCTACAGCATCGAACAACCATGATGTTCTCATTTTCAGGGACTTTAGACTTTAAAATAAGAAGTCAATAAATCAGGTAATATTAGATATTATATAAAACCATCACAATAAAATGAATAATACAGATGAACCAGAAGTCAGTGGCGGTTCTAGACCAAATGTTTCAGGGGCCAGGAGGGGCCAGCGTGTTTTCCTGGGGGCCCATAGAAGCATTAAATAGGAAACAGGTCAAAGGATTCAAATATATTAAGAAATCTGCATGAAGTGAAATTTCTATTCATTAAGGTTTAATTAAAATTCTGTCTTATTAGATCAATAAACATTCATGAATTTAACTTAAAAATTAAGGTTTTCTCCCAAATCTGAATTAGAACTCAAGAAAAACTGATAAATTCAGCCGTAAAAATTAGAGCAATTTGTTTTGAAAAAAAAAAACATCTAACAGATGGAAACTGGGATCGTATCTCAGCACCACTGAAACCATCACCTTATTATTGTTGGATAATTAGTAAAACAGAATTTATAGAGAAAAGAAACAGATCCAAAGGACCCATCAGTAACCATGTCTGTTCCAGCGCAGATCATCATTAGAATAGAGTATTACCGTAAATCCTCTAATATTGGCCTGTATTCCATTAGCGGCCGGGCCTCTAATAACGGCTGCCTGGCTGTCAGTGGAGCTAAGTAATGGCCGGACTCATACCTCCTCTCTGCCTCAGCCGTCCCTAGACCCACAGCGTATAGAGCAGACCACGCTGCAATATTGAGCATAAATCAAAAATGTCTGCATCAATCTTACTGTGACACACTGCTGCTGCAGGAGGATAATCAGCCACACAATCGTTCTGATCTGAAAGACACGTGATCAGCGGTAGGTCTGCTGGAAACCAGGCAGCGTTAAAATGACTGAACTTCGTTGTTCTGAGTTTCCCTTGAAATATTACAGCTGCTGGAAGATGTCTGAATAATGTTCTGTACATCGTTACTTTTTCAATAAATGAACTTAGTATTTTATTGGTTCAAAGAGACACAGATTCAGTTTTTTATTCATTCCACTGTTGGTCTGTTTGATCAAATAGAATAGAGGCCTGCCTCTAATTCTGGCCTCCTTCCAATAATGGCCTGGACCAAGATGCACCTGAGTGAAATAAAGGCCCCGTCCAATATTAGAGGATTTACGGTATGTCTTCAGTACAGGGGCCGGGGCATGATCTACAGGGGCACTGGCCCCCTTTGCCCCCTGTCTAGAACCGCCCATGCCAAAAGGGCTAAATTGATGATGTATATGTAATATACGTGTATTGATTACGTTGTTATAATAATTACATCTTAGATGTCTGGTAGTGGAATTTATACTGTATATATGCTCCCTGCTGTCCTCTGCTGCCCTCTGCTGCCCTCTGCTGCCCTCTGCTGTCCTCTGCTGCCCTCTGCTGTCCTCTGCTGCCCTCTGCTGTCCTCTGCTGCCCTCTGCTGTCCTCTGCTGCCCTCTGCTGCCCTCTGCTGCCCTCTGCTGCCCTCTGCTGCCCTCTGCTGGCCTCTGCTGCCCTCTGCTGGCCTCTGCTGCCCTCTGCTGGCCTCTGCTGCCCTCTGCTGCCCTCTGCTGCCCTCTGCTGCCCTCTGCTGCCCTCTGCTGCCCTCTGCTGCCCTCTGCTGCCCTCTGCTGCCCTCTGCTGCCCTCTGCTGCCCTCTGCTGCCCTCTGCTGTCCTCTGCTGCCCTCTGCTGCCCTCTGCTGCCCTCTGCTGGCCTCTGCTGCCCTCTGCTGTCCTCTGCTGCCCTCTGCTGTCCTCTGCTGCCCTCTGCTGTCCTCTGCTGCCCTCTGCTGTCCTCTGCTGCCCTCTGCTGCCCTCTGCTGCCCTCTGCTGCCCTCTGCTGCTCTCTGCTGCCCTCTGCTGTCCTCTGCTGCCCTCTGCTGTCCTCTGCTGCCCTCTGCTGTCCTCTGCTGCCCTCTGCTGTCCTCTGCTGCCCTCTGCTGTCCTCTGCTGCCCTGTGCTGCCCTCTGCTGCCCTCTGCTGCCCTCTGCTGCCCTCTGCTGCCCTCTGCTGCCCTCTGCTGCCCTCTGCTGCCCTCTGCTGACCTGCTCCTTGTGCTCTGCAGACTTCATGTGCTCCACAAACTTCCTGGGGGTCCTGAAGTGTCTCTGGCAGACTGGACAGAAGGGCCGCCCCCGCTGTTTGCACACCTGGATGAAAGACAGAGGATGAAGAAGATGATGAAGATGATGAAGAGCCCCCCTCCCCCCTCACCTTGTGCTGGGCGGTCCTTCTGTGGACGATGATGTCACCAGTGAAGTGGCTCTGGCAGGTGTCACACCAGCGCTGTGTCTGAGGTCGGCGCCCTCTGCAGGCAGACAGAGGTTCCTGACTGCTGGATCTGGGTCAGTCAGAACCAGAACCGGTTCTCCCTGCTAATGATGGATGTGTGTGAGGCCGCACCTGTCCAGCAGGGGGTGTGCATTCAGCCGGATGCTTTGGGTGACGTCCTGCAGCTTCCTCAGGTGTTCTGACCCGGTCATGTGGTCCTGGAAGTCCTGGACAGCAGAAACACACCCTGCCTTTGAGTTTTCCTTCTGTGGTTCTCTGATCATCCCCGCCGGCTGCTCCTCACCTGCTGGGAGCCACAGGTGAGCTTACAGACATGGCAGTGGAGAGGAGCCGGGTGTGGGTGGGCGTGGCCAAACGCCCTGCTGTCGCTGCTCTGCTGGATGGTGACCTTCAGGGAGCCCACGCTCTGCAGCTGCACACACGCCACAACATGCCTGTTACATGCTAACCGCACGCAAACACGGCCTGGAGCCACCAGGACCGCCGGCCTCACCTGAGCCGCTCGGCTTTCCTCTGCTGCCCCCTGCTGCTCAGAACCAGAAACATCTGCTGGAACAGAAACAGCTGCAATGACGGGTCCAGAAGCTCGGTAAAGTTCTGATTAACTTACAGACACGCACCTCCAGCTGGGTCACATGACCCGGGGGCTTTGGGTCCGCAGAGAACAACCGCAGCCACCTGGTTTCTGCAGGAAACACCATCAACTCAGCGGGACAGTGGTCCAAAAATCATCTGATCCACAAACGGGTCCAATCTAACCGCCAAAGGTCCAGATCAGGACCTAAAAGCTTCTGTTATGGAGACCATAAGGAACCAAACTGACCCGTTCTGTCTGCTTCTCTTTATCTGAGTCTCCCCTGAACCTCCAGCAGAACCCTGGCCTCCGGCTCGGGTCCACCCATCCTTCGCTCTCTTTTCCCCCGCTGTGGCGGTACTGCAGGGCCGCATGTCGCAGCTTCCGGATGCTGAAGCCTGGAAACAAACGTTCAATTGGTGAGATGGATCAGCAGCAGGAGGGGGAGGGGGGTTAGGTTTATACACCTGCTGAGCTGGAGGCAGAACCTTCTGACCCGGGCTCCGAGGGAATCGAACCTTCGCCACGCCGCCCTCTGCTGCAGGAAGGAAACACCTGGAGGAGGAACACAACATCTGGAGGTCAGAGCTGAAAACGGAACGGCGTGACGGAGGAGGCTGGATCCAGCAACCGCACCTGTCCCTCCTGCGACTCTGTCTGACCATGATGACCTCTGACCTCTCTGCACCTGCGCAGAAAGACAACCTTTAAAGCTTTATGGTCCGTAAAACAAAACCAACTTCAATAATTACATTCTAACGAATTTTATTGATCTCACACTGGAGAAATTCCCTCTCTGCATTTAACCCCTCCCCGTGGGGAGCAGTGGGCTGCTATGGTGCGGCTCCCCCTGGGGAGCAGTGGGCGGCCATGGTGTGGCTCCCCGTGGGGAGCAGTGGGCTGCTATGGTGCGGCTCCCCCTGGGGAGCAGTGGGCGGCCATGGTGTGGCTCCCCGTGGGGAGCAGTGGGCTGCTATGGTGTGGCTCCCCGTGGGGAGCAGTGGGTAGGGCTGGGTATTGTTAAAAAAATTTCGGTTCCGGTACCAATACCGATACCTTCACTTCGATACCGGTTCCTGAACGATACATTTTTCGATACCAGTTTTATAATATCAATTCGAAAAAAAAGAAAATTACACAACATAAAAAAGTACAAATCTTGAGTTTTATTTTAAGCTCTGTTTTTCCATTTACATTTTTCCTCTTACATAAAAAAATAAATAATTCAGTGTCTAATATTCACTGTTACATTGTGAGGACCTTTTTACTTAGCAGTTTTCCTTTAGAAAAATTACCATGTCTGACAAACAAGCCCGTTGAATGGGATCCTACTGACAGCGCACCGCTGGTATGGGGGGGGTCTGAGCGGCTCCGACAGAAATATTGAAGGCAGGATGAACTGACTGCACTGATTACGTTTTCAGGTGGATTTTCCCACTTAAAAACATAATAAAACTACTTTATTCCCACTGATCACAGCAAATATAGCTGCAAGGCAAATAAAGGATAGAGTAGCTCCGCCCAACGCGCGTCTGACCCACTTTGCGACCGCGCAGCCAGAGCAGCAAAGCTTCTTCAGCAGCGCGTCAGAAGCTGGTACAAGCAGCAAAAATGAAGCAGCAGACGAGATTTTGCTGCTCTTGCTGCGTCCAGTTTGAAAGCAGCATGATTCACTCCGCTCTGGCTTTGCTCTGCCCACGGGCTGCTGAGAGGAGGATGGTCGCGCTGGCTGCGGTCCGCTCTTCTTGCAGTCAAACACAGAGCGACTTTCTGCTCTTAAATTATTTCCGTGCACGATGTATTGCATTGCGCACTATTAGCATCAGTCTTAATAAAGTGAAGCCGCACTTTTGACCTGGGGGGCATTTTAAAGGGGTTCCGCGACGCTGCAACCAGTTCACAAAAGATACACATGAACCCTGGCTGTAGGCGTGACCACCTGTGTATTTTTCCTGGATGACGCAATCACCTTAAGTGTTCCAGCCAATCACCGAAACTTGGTACCGAAAGACGAGGCATGTTTCGATACTCTGTAGAACCGAAGCATTTCGGTCGGTACCATAAAAGTACCGAAGTTCGGTACCCAGCCCTAGCAGTGGGTTGCCATTGTGCGGCTCCCCTTGGGGAGCAGTGGGCTGCTATGGTGCGGCTCCCGCTGGGGAGCAGTGGGCGGCCATGGTGTGGCTCCCCGTGGGGAGCAGTGGGCTGCTATGGTGCGGCTCCCCTTGGGGAGCAGTGGGCTGCTATGGTGCGGCTCCCCGTGGGGAGCAGTGGGCGGCCATGGTGTGGCTCTCCGTGGGGAGCAGTGGGTTGCCATGGTGTGGCTCTCCGTGGGGAGCAGTGGGTTGCCATGGTGCGGCTCCCCTTGGGGAGCAGTGGGCTGCTATGGTGCGGCTCCCCCTGGGGAGCAGTGGGCCGCCATGGTGCGGCTCCCATTGGAGAGCAGTGGGCAGCCACGGTGCGGCTCCCCTTGGGGAGCAGTGGGCGGCCATGGTGCGGCTCCCCTTGGGGAGCAGTGGGCTGCCACGGTGCGGCTCCCATTGGGGAGCAGTGGGTTGCCACGGTGCGGCTCCCCTTGGGGAGCAGTGGGCTGCCAAGGTGCGGCTCCCATTGGGGAGCAGTGGGTTGCCAAGGTGCGGCTCCCATTGGGGAGCAGTGGGCTGCCAAGGTGCGGCTCCCATTGGGGAGCAGTGGGTTGCCACGGTGCGGCTCCCCTTGGGGAGCAGTGGGCTGCCAAGGTGCGGCTCCCATTGGGGAGCAGTGGGCTGCCACGGTGCGGCTCCCATTGGGGAGCAGTGGGTTGCCACGGTGCGGCTCCCCTTGGGGAGCAGTGGGCCGCCATGGTGCGGCTCCCATTGGGGAGCAGTGGGCTGCCACGGTGCGGCTCCCCCTGGGGAGCAGTCGGCTGCCATGGTGCGGCTCCTGGGGAGCAGTGGGCCGCCATTCGGCTCCTGGGGAGCAGTGGGCCGCCATGGTGCGGCTCCTGGGGAGCAGGGTGGGGTTAAGGGTCTTGTCAGGGCTGCTGACTCTCACTCCATATCCACAGTTTGTCACACTAAAAATTAACGGACATTAAAACTCAACTCCATTCCACTTATTTATATATAAAAATCCCATCTGATAAAAATCCAGTCGGCGTTTTCAACACAACCTTAGCGCTAACACAGGAAGCTGTGCAGGATTGAGATCCAGTCCGTATTTTAGTACGAGCCCTGTTCACCAGATATTGGAAGAAAACCAGGATATCTGAGCAGTGATTATTGCGAGGTGAAACACTTTTATCTTTATTCTATCTGCACTAATTAATGAAGATTTTAAGCAATCTACCATTTGAGGAAATATGAATAAAACAGCAGCTAGTTAAATTTATCAATGTAGAGGCTGAGTTTAGGATCTCATCATATTGACATCAAATGGTTCGTTTTCTCCATATTTAATGCTTTTATTAGTCGGCTTCACTCATTGGTTGCTGTAATCTATCCTCCTGGTTTAGTCCCAGTTTTAATCCATGTTTTCCTCACAAGTTAAATAATTATTGCTCAGTGTAATTTAATAATCTCTGTTGGATTTTAGGAATAGTTAAACCAGGACAAATATAAAAGTTCTTAAAGCTTTCAGGTTTGCCTCTCAAACCCACAGGAGCTCCACAAAAAGAAAAAGAAGCATCGCATTTTATTTTCCTAAAGATCGGCCAAGAAAAGACCAACCGCATCCAGAGAGGACATGAAGAACATCTCAGCTATCCTGGATTCATAGAGGAGGAACCACAGGATGATCTCATTTATCATTCATTAAATTATTCATTTATCCTTATTGTCCAAAATGAAACATCCAGAGAAGTTTTTATTGAATCTACAGCCTCCTAGAAGCTACGATTGTTTAGCTGTTTTTTTCAATTGTAAAAAAAATTGTATCAGTGCCAGTAATCCAGTCAGAATGTTTATTTTACTTCAACTGCAGAGAATAATAAATAAAGTTGTGAAATTCTTAGTTTAAAGAACATTTAAGATGCAAGTATTTCAGTAGTTCTGCTTTACTTCGATTCTCTAAAAATCTGCAGAATATAGAAAATTATGGATATTTCCACATAACTACAGGTAACTGATTATTACTCAGTAACATTTACTGTTCTATTAAAAATCCTCTGAAAACCTCCAACCTTTATCTGTCCCCATCTGACCCTGACAGGGTTTCCTGTTGCTAAATCTCCCTCTGAGCTCCAACTCTAGGCCACTTCTCTCCTTTAATGCAGTGAGGATCTGATCCCTGCATCACAAAACAGGATTAGATTCATTCAGCTTCATCAGTTGGAATCAAACACATCCTGGATTTATCCCTTCAGGCTACATCTGCCTCATATTCAACCCTTAAAACCGTTAGAAACATATTTTTGTCTAAATAACCCGGCCGACTAAACAGAGAGATGCAATCAGTTAGATAATACTAGTAATTATTTTATTTCCTAATACAGAAGCAGGTCGAACAGAGCAGAAAAACTAAAATCAATGTTTTTTAGAAGGAGAATTGGAAGCTAGCTCGGCTAAAAGCGAGAAAAACTACCAAATAAGGCCTTTTCCGTTTGGTTTCTCTTCTATTGCTAACAGCTGTTCCTGTGCTGAGATAAACATCTGATGAAACCTAGATGTGGATTTTATAAATAATTTAATTTAACTCACCTCAGAGCTAGCAGCTAACTCCACCGCACAGAAACAGAGCAAAGCTAGTTGACCGGGATCCCTCTATCGCCCCCTACCGGCCAGGATGAAGACCTAAAAACTAAGCATCCAAACATCTGGTTAAAATCAGACAGACTTCTTCCTGGTTGCTGATCAACGTTTCTGTTTAAATGAAACATTCTGTGATAAAAATAGGAGCATTAGGGAAGTTTTACCAAAGGTTAAAGAGTCTTACTTTAAAATCTCTCTGGTTATTTACCCAGTGGCAGAATTTTGGCACAAAAATTTTAAATTTGATTTAACATGCTGCTCCTTTTGTGAATGTCCAGATGAATTCCTTAATCATCTTTTTTTTTTAATTCAATTCTATTCAGTTTATTTCTATAGCTCCAATTCACATCATGTCATCTCAGGTCACTTTCCAGTTCACCAGATCATCCAGTCAGATTGATTCAAAGTTTTCTATCTAAGGAAAACCAGCTGATTGCATCGACTCATTGACTCTTCAGCAATCCCTCACACTAAGCATGCTTGTAGCGACAGTGGAGAGGAAAAACTCCCTTTGAACAGGAAGAAACCTCCAGCAGAACCAGGCTCAGTGTGAGCGGCCATCTGCTGAGGCCCACTGGGGTTCAAGGAGACAGAAGCAGACATAGAAAAAGAAGCATAGATACAAAAGGCAACTGTCAACCAGCTCCACAGGCGGCCCCGTCCAGGAAACACACAGCCAGGCAGACGAGCTCCGAGCCAGCTCCCATGTCAGAGGATGAAGAGAGCACATCCAGTTAGTCACAGTCAGAGAAACAGGACTACACTGGAAAACAGGCCAAGCTCCAACATCTAGAAACAAAGGTGTTGATGGCAGCAGCACAGCTGATATTTCTCTCCAGGATGGAGTCACAGCCAAACAGGAACAGACCAGATGAAGCTACTATGAGAAAAAAACAGATTTCTTTTCTTCTCCTTTTTCTTTTAAACTATAGAGAGACATTAAAAATGGGTCGTCCCTTAAAATTGAGAAGATCCCAGAAATAACCATCACCCACATATTGTACTATGTCGATGATATTGATAGTAAACTATCAGATATGGCAAATATTGTCTTATCGCTTGTCAAATATCTAATACATATCTGTAAATGGAGAGGTGTCATGATTTTCTTAAGAGATCTGACCCACATGCAGTAAAGCACTCAGAGAACCAGGGTAAAAGTTTGAACAGGTTTATTGATGAAACCAGCGGGGTAGGATTCAGGAAACACAGTGAACTGGTGAACTGGAAGTTAGTGGAGAAAAACTTTCCTCCCAGAATCCAGTCGGTGTGGGTTTTTCTGGAGGTTGATACACGTTGGAGGGCGTACAGGTATAGACTAAGTTGGACCCAGAGGAGCTATTGAGCGGACTGGCACTTGGGAATCCAGGAGGACTTCAACGGAGCTTGTGGAGGTTAATCCCCTGCTCCGTGTGAGACTCAAACAATCCTTCCAGGGGAAGAAGGCCAAACATCAAGCTTACAGGAAGGCTTCCTGCCGAAAAGGCAAAGATAAAAACACAGTTAGAACTCAGAGAAACAAAGACTCAGTTTGACTCAGCCAAACTCAGCTTGGCTAGAGTACCCAAAACTGGCAAACACTCTGGCGCCGAGGTAGTGGCAGTCCGCCGCTCAAATAGTCCTCAGTGATGAGTCAACCAGCCGCAGGTGTGTGAGAGGACCAACGAGGACAGGGCGCCACCTGGTGGCCGAGGGAGAGAAAGACACAAAAAAAACAAACCCACACAAACTGGATTTCTAACAAGAGGTTCTACTCCTTGTTTTTATTTTATTTTTTGTCAACCAATTTAAAATGTATTAAATTGGTTAACAATTTAAAGCTTGCTCTATTTTTAATTCATTGGTCTTACTGTTTACGTATATGTTCTTATTTTTAACCCTATGTTCTATTTTTTTCTACCCGTGTTGTAATGTTTGTACCTCAGCGAGTCTTTGTATAGTGTTTGTTATATAAATAATTAAAATAAAGAATATGACCATTAAGTTCCTTTTACTCCTGATCTTATTTACTTGAAAAAGTAAATATTATTCTTAAGGTTTAGCTAAGCTGTAAGTAAATTAGAGACATTCACCTTCTGTGTTCGGCCAGTAAAGATGATTGTTATGAATATTTTCCTCAACTTTACGTTTGAATTTATGAACACAAAATAAGACACTAACAGAAAATAAAACGTAGACCTCTAGATATTATTAATGTTTTATTACTTGGTTTGGAAAAAACCTTAAAAGTATAAATATAGATCATAACAAAATGTATCATAGTGATAAAGGAAGGAGGGAAAGATTTAAAGTAAAAAGTTGCTCATATTCAGAATTCAAACTTCTGAAAGTTCTTTAAATCTGAAATGATTCCATCCTGTTCAATCAGTGTTTTTAATTCAGAGTAATTTTCATGTGAATGTGCTTTACTGGAGGCATCCATGTTTGTCAAAGAACACTACTGCCACCTACTGGTTAGTGACATTGTCACGGTGCGGTATCGGCTGTTGATCAAGTCCCAGTGCTGTATCTGGTGTTTGTCACAACGCGCTATTATCCAAGTCATCTTGAAAACATTCTTCTTCCAAATGTTGGCTACATATTACGGGTTTTTTCTCTGGCCAGAAGTTCGATGGCAAATCCTCCCTCTTCAAGTTGCCGATCCAACGACCAACCCGTCCGTGGAGGATCAGGAATCAGAAAGGTGGAATAACTCTTTTTTTTCACTTTTACCCGATGTATTCCAGCATCCAGCTGCCATGCACGTGGGCATTGTCAGTTTCACTATAGCTCTGGTGAATTTCAATGGTGAAGTCCTCTGGAAATCTTCAATAATTGTTGTTGATTGCAGATGTGTCTAGTAGTTCCCATTGATTTAGCTTGGAAAGCGGGGAGAATGGCGCTAGGCTTACCGCACCGTGACGTCACTGCTGGAAGATGGCAGGAGGGAGGGGCTACTATGCATTTGGGCAAAAATGGCCGCTACCAGACTTGTTTTTATTTTTTTACTGATTAATGCTTCATTCATTAATCACAGCAAACTTATTCATTTTAGGTATAAATAAAGATCCATTGATTCCTTTAATGAAAACCAGGAGAACAAACTCAGTTCTTCAAACTTTAATCTTTGGTTCTTGGATTCAAGCTAAACCAAAATCCAGCTGTTTATTTTAAAGAAGATTAAAAGTCCTCATTTTAAATGAAAGCAGCTAAAGTTTACAGGAGTTTAAATTTGTTGGACTGTTTACTGATGAAGTGTTTTTTCATTTTGTCTTTATTCTTTTTGTTTGGCGGGGGGGGGGGGGGGGTGCACTAAAGAGACAGGAAGGAGCCGATTAGCTGCTGTCTTCCTGTCTGTGTTTTGGCGCCTTCATCTGCAGGAAGATCTAAACTTTTACAGCTGCAGGTTTCTCCCATTTCATCCCAGTGAAGAAGCTGGATGTGCGCGGCCCTTGGCCCCCAGAGTTTAATGGATTCCCCACATGCTGCTCCAGCTTCCTCCCAGACAGACGGGGAGGATTTCATCCCTGCTGCTGGCCTCAGAGGAGAACTTTAGCTTCCTGCCGTCTGAATCTAATGCAGATGGAGCGTCGCAGTCAATCCTGCTGGATTTCAACCGTCGGAGGGAAAAGAATCAGGATCTGATGTGTCTCAGATCCTGATCCATAAACATGAAGCCAGAGATTCCTTCAGTATCATCTGTAGTTTATTATTGTACCTTATTACAGAAGCTCGTTTCTGACAGTCAGCTGGTTCATCATCAGATCATCCATCTTATTCGTCTGACAAACCCAAAACTGAGGCATGGCAGGAACATTCCCTGCATCCTGATGGGAACTGGAACCCAGTGGATTTACCTGGATGAAGGCGGCACCTCCTAGAAATCACCCAGGAGGCGTTTCCATCTAATAACCAGATCAGCAAACTCCGCCTCCATCAGTTTGGGCTTTTATTAAAAAAATAAAATAAACTGAGCTTCATCAGGAAAGTTCATCCTATGAGGAGCAGCTGACTGAAAAACTGCAACACATTGAACAGATACAGCTGCCCCACCAAAATAAAAGCCCAACATCCTGCTTTCACCACGTCAGCTAGCAGGAAGTGATGTCACACCAGTCAGAGGTAGTCTTAGTCATAGTCGTCTATCAACTGCTTCATCTCAGACGCACTGCGGGACAAGTACGAGGACAGCTCATCTAGACAGACAGGAGACATATGAGACAAGTTAGACAGATCAGAGACAGGTCAGAGACGGCTGAGACAGGTCAGAGACAGGAGAGGCAGGTGAGACCAGTGACACACAGGTCAAAGACAAGTCTGAGACAGTTAAGACAGTTGAGAAAGGTGAGAGACAGGTCAGAGACAGATTACCGAGGTCAGAGACAGCTTACACAGGTCAGAGACAGGTGTGAGACAGCTGAGACAGGTCAAAGACAGACGAAAGGCAGGTGAGATAGGTCAGAGACAGGCGGGACAGGTCGGAGACTGGAGAGACAGTTGAGAGACAGGTAAGACAGGTCAAAAACAGGTAAGACAGGTCAGAGACAAGTGAACTTTTAAAAGATAAAGAACACTTGGGACATGGAGGACTCGTGATTCCAGTGGTTTGCCCCACCTTCCCCCAGTACTCCCAGTACAGCGGACGCAGAAACAGATCCCAGATTGTTCTTTGCTGTGCATCGGTATGTCCCTGAGTCACCTGGCTCCGCCCCTTCGATCTGCAGCCAGCTGGACAGCTCAAACCTCAGAGGACCACCCCTGGACTGGGGAACAGAGGACAGCTGGTGTCTCTGAGAGGACAAACCTAGGTTCCCCGCTGTTTTAACAGGGGCAGCGTCAGCAGAATGCATACCTGGACAGAGATGTGAGGGTCGTCTCCTGGTAGGACGACGTCCCGTCCATCCTTCCTCCACTCTACCAGAGCCATGGGGAAGGCAAAGACCTCACAGAGGAACACTAGACTGCTGCCAGAACGGTTCACCTGGTTCCGAGGGGGAACCTTGATCACAGGCTCTGAGAGGTGGGACGGTGGGGGACAGAGGACGGACATGTTAGACCAAACAGGGGGACAAAGACACGAAAACAAGTATCTTCTGAGGAAGATAAAGTGTAGCGGAATGAGCGAAAAAGGAAGCAGATTAACTTCAAAATAAAAGACTGTTATAAATCTTTTCTAATGGAAAACAGGAAACACAAGAGAAAACTTTCTACATGGCTGAACCAATCAGATCCGGATCAATGAACTGCTTCAGATCCGGATCAATGAACTGCTTTAGATCCGGATCAATGAACTGCTTCAGATCCAGATTAATGAACTGCTTTAGATCCGGATCAATGAACTGCTTTAGATCCGGATCAATGAACTGCTTTAGATCCGGATCAATGAACTGCTTCAGATCCAGATTAATGAACTGCTTTAGATCCGGATCAATGAACTGCTTTAGATCCGGATCAATGAACTGCTTTAGATCCGGATCAATGAACTGCTTCAGATCCAGATTAATGAACTGCTTTAGATCCGGATCAATGAACTGCTTTAGATCCGGATCACTGAACTGTTTCAGATCCGGATCAATTAACTGCTTTAGATCCGGATCAATGAACTGCTTTAGATCCGGATCAATAAACTGCCTTAGATCCGGATCAATGAACTGCTTTAGATCAGATCAGATCAATTAACTGCTTTAGATCCGGATCAATGAACTGCTTTAGATCCGGATCAATGAACTGCCTTTGATCCGGATCAATGAACTGCTTCAGATCCAGATTAATGAACTGCTTTAGATCCGGATCAATGAACTGCTTCAGATCCGGATCAATGAACAGCTTCAGATCTAGATCAATGAACTGCCTCAAATCAGATCGGATCAATGAACTGTTTTAAATCCGGATCACTGAACTGTTTCAGATCCGGAACAATGAACTGCTTTAGATCCGGATCAATGAACTGCTTCAGATCTGGAGCAATGAACTGCTTCAGATCCGGATCAATTAACTGCTTCAATCAGATCAATGAACTGCTTCAGATCCGGATCAATGAACTGCTTTAGATCTGGATCAATGAACTGCTTTATATCCGGATCAATGAACTGCTTCCGATCCGGATCAATGAACTGCTTCCGATCCGGATCGATGAACTGCTTCAGATCCGGATCAATGACTGCTTCAGATCCGGATCAATGAACTGCTTCAGATCAGATCAGATCAATGAACTGCTTCCGATCCGGATCAATGACTGCTTCAGATCCGGATCAATGAACTGCTTCAGATCAGATCAGATCAATGAACTGCTTTAGATCCGGATCAATGAACTGCTTCAGATCTGGATCAATGAACTGCTTCAGATCCGGATCAATGAACTGCTTCAGATCAGATCAGATCAGATCAATGAACTGCTTCAGATCCGGATCAATGAACTGCTTTAGATCCGGATCAATGAACGGCTTCAGATCTAGATCAATGAACTGCTTTAGATCCGGATCAATGAACTGCTTCAGATCCGGATCAATGAACTGCTTTATATCCGGATCAATGAACTGCTTCAGATCAGATCAGATCAGATCAATGAACTGCTTTAGATCCGGTTCAATGACTGCATCAGATCTGGATAAATGAACTGCTACAGATCCGGATCAATGAACTGCTTCAGATCAGATTAGATCAATGAACTGCTTCAGATCCGGATCAATGAACTGCTTTAGATCCGTATTAATGAACTGCTTCAGATCAGATCAGATCAATGAACTGCTTCAGATCCGGATCAATGAACTGCTTTAGATCAGTATTAATGAACTGCTTCAGATCAGATCAGGATCTTTAAATCCAGAACTCCTCTCAGCTGTGGTTGGAGGTTCTGAGGAGGTGATGGTGGAGCTCCTGCTGCTGAATCACGGCTCCCTCTGTTTGTAGAGGGAGAAGGGTGGGGTCGTCAGTCTGGAGGTGAGGGGCAGCAATCCCCCCACCTCCCCATCTGGAGCACAGCTCCTAGAACCAGACCTTTGTTCAGGAGGAAGCTGGCCCCCACCCTCTGTTCATTCACTGAACACTGACTTCATTCTGGTTCCTCTGAACATTCAACCAGAACTGGTTCTGATCCAGTCCTCGTTTCAAAGAACCTCAGAGCTAATGGGGCCAAACAGGATCAATGTTATAGAAACCCATTCATGACTGTTTATGATGCATAAAGCAGGAAGTGTTTCCTGAATATTTCATTTGGTTTAAAACCTTATTGGGTCTAAAATAGTAAAGATCTATTTCCTGAAAAGTTGGGTTGGTTCTGACCCAGAGAGAGAGACCCGTTTTCAGGTGTCGGTACCTGTCCGGCAGGGACCCCTCCCTACGGTTCGGAGTTCCGGGTCGGAGAAGGCGGCCTCTCTGAACCGACACATGTTCCTGTAGGTGGTTCCGTCGCTGCCGCACAGCGCCTCCTGCTGCTCACACACACACACCTCCTCTTCATCCTCTCCTCCTGCAGCGGGCCCCGGGTCCGCCTGGCACCGAAGCCCGGTTCCACACAGACCGTAGAACACATTTAGGGGCCCCGGGTCACAGGCCTGGCCCTCCAGGTTCCCACATTCCTGACAGCATCCGCAGGAGTCCAGAACCAGTCCGGCCCGGCAACCACGGGTCTGCGGACACAGCTCCGGATTGCACGGTCCGCAGCCCTCTAATCCGGTGGTTCTGGTGCCGGTTCTGTTCCTGCTCTGGATCCAGCCGTCTACCAGTTCCTTCTCCGGTGGGACGTATTCCAGAAGGGGGTCTGGGATGGAGGATGGGACCGGTGGAGCCGCCCTGGAGGAGAGCAGGTCCAGAACAAGGAGGAACAGAACCAGCATCTCTGTATCCCTGAATGTTGGTTCTGTTCAGCTCCCGTGAGATGATGAAGGTTCTGAGCGAGGTTCTCGATGGTCAGACCCACAGACACATTCCACTCAAGTCCACAAACACAAACCTCAGAGGAATTCCCAGAACACAGAACCAATCTGGATCCAAAACCTGGAAAGATGAGAAAACAGAAACAAAATTCTACAAAACTAAAGAATAAAAAAGCTGAAACAGAACCAGGAGATAAAAAGACCGGTTCTGGAAAACAGAACGAAACGTCCAGAAGAAGAAAAAGTGGAGCCAGAAGAAAGAGGTCCAGCAGCGGTTTGGGTCAGACGGAGTCTGAGGTTCAGTCTGAGCTGCTCAGCACACAGTAGAGTCTGAACCAATGCAGCACACTGCTTCCTGTCATGCTCTTCAAAATAAAAGCCTCTCTGACTGCTCAGCAAATCCAGTTCCTGAACGTTCAGCTAGAGTTCTGAATGAACTGCAGGTTTAGATGGCACCTGAGCTGGTCGTCACGTTCTGCAGAACCTCAGAACTTGCTGAGGACGGAAGAGAAGGGAAAACAGAGCAAGTTTGGCGACGGTGGGAAGAAAAACATCTCTGAAGCGAATCTGATTTCGGTTCAGACTGGGTTCAATAAGGAGAACAGAACCAAGAACTGACATCAAATCTGATAGAACCGATGAATTTGGTGTTTCTGATCAATTGTCTGTGATAGAAGCTCAGAGCTGCAAACTTTTCCTTGGTTCTTCCAGCAGTTTACAGGTTTTTCCTTCTACCTTCTGCTCTGCCTGGGATTCATCCCAAACCCTCCTACAAACACACGGGGAATCATGAGGTTCAGTTCTGAGGAGAAACACATGGAGAAATAAAACACACTCCAACAGCAGCATGCAGCTTTTATTTTGAAGGGAAGCAGCTTGTGTTTCCTGTTTGACTCTTCTCTCAGCAGCTGGATGTTTGCTGGAGTCTGAGCTGACAGCTGCTGAACCCATCAGTCACAGGAGGTTCTCAGGGTTCTCCAGGAGCTCCCAGGTTCCAGGAACATTCAGTTCAGGTTCTCATGGCTTTACCAAATTCTGCTCTCCTTTGGGGACAACAGGAACCAGAAGAACAGATGGATTAACCTGGAGCGGATTCAGCCTGAAGAAAGCTCCGCCTGCCAGGGGTATGAATAATTCTGAGCTGAACACAAAAGCTGGAGGTAGAATACAGCAGGACCGGAGGAAGGGGCCCAACACGACTTCTGCTCGGGGCCTCGGCTAACCTGTGGCCCCTCTGCTGTTTGGATCTTCCAGGACCAGAACCTGGACTCCACCCTCAGAAACCTGCCAGGTCCTGGTCCAAACCCGGCTCCTGATTCCATCTGCTCTGCCTCCTCTCTGACCTCCATGATCTAATTTTAGAGTGTTTCTGTGGCCCCACCCCTTCAAAATAAGAGCCTGAGGAGCCGCAGTAATGACGGGTTTGTGGTTTCCTGCTTCTTTCCGTCCTGCAGCCGCCGTTCTTTCCCTGCTTCAGTTTCTGCTCAGAATTCAAACTGACAGATGGGTCAGGATACTGGAAGGATCTGGATCAGAACCAAGGAGACCTGTTCAAACCCAGAAGCAGATCTCTGTCCATCACTCTGATGTTCTTTCTGAGTTCTAAAAGGAACAGAGATTATGTTGATGATGTTCAGTTGTTGTTTCTGGTAAACAGGACTGTTCATTAAATGTCTCCTGATGTTCAACGATGATGAGATGTTCTCCTAGAGGAACCAGCTTGGATCCAGGAGGTGTCATGGAGCTGAAGAGTGACCAACGTTCAGAACATAGAGCTTAATGAGGACTTTTAAAAAGGAAACTTTACAGAACAGAAGGAAAAGTCCGAAACCTGGATGTGATTAATGAAGGAACCAGAGGAGAACAGGAAACCATCCTGAAGAGGGCAGCATGGAGAAGCGCTTAGTCCACCAACAGAAAGGAAGGCCTTGACATCACCCTTCACCCTTCATTTGGATGGGATTAAACTGATTTCAGATAATAAAGTAAAAAATCTTGATGTTGTTTTTGATCAGGACCTGTCATTTAAATCCCAGATCAAAGAGGTTTCTAGAATTTCCTTCTTTCATCTGAGGAATATTGCTAAAATTAGAAATCTCCTGTCCAGGGGTGATGCTGAGAAACTAGTCCATGCATTTGTTACTTCAAGGCTGGACTATTGTAATTCTTTACTATCAGGAAGTCCACAAACTGTAGTTAAAAGCCTTCAGCTGATCCAAAATGCTGCAGCCAGAGTTCTGATGAAAATGAAAAAGAGAGATCATATCTCTCCTATCCTGGCTTCTCTTCATTGGCTTCCTGTTAAATCCAGAATAGAATTTAAAATCCTCCTTCTCACATATAAAGCCTTAAATGGCCAAGCTCCATCTGATATCAGAGATCTGATTGTTCCTTATGTTCCTAACAGAGCACTTCGCTCTCAATCTGCAGGTTTACTAGTGGTTCCTAGAATTTCTAAAAGTAGAATGGGAGGCAGATCTTTTAGTTATCAGGCTCCTCTCCTGTGGAACCAACTACCAGTTTTAGTCCGTGAGGCAGACACCCTGTCTACTTTTAAGGCTAGGCTTAAAACTTTCCTTTTGATAAAGCTTCTAGTTAGAGTGGCTCAGGTTATCCTGAGCTATCTCTATAGTTATGCTGCTATAGGCTTAGACTGCTGGAGGACATAGGGACCCCTTTTTCATCATTCTGCTTCATTCTATCTCTATTCTCCCACTCTGCAGAATCTGTTAGTTCAATCTCTAACCTTCTGCTCTCTCTGCTTTTTCTCATAGTAGCTTCATCTGGTCTGTTCCTGTTTGGCTGTGACTCCATCCTGGAGAGAAATATCAGCTGTGCTGCTGCCATCAACACCTTTGTTTCTAGATGTTGGAGCTTGGCCTGTTTTCCAGTGTAGTCCTGTTTCTCTGACTGTGACTAACTGGATGTGCTCTCTTCATCCTCTGACATGGGAGCTGGCTCGGAGCTCGTCTGCCTGGCTGTGTGTTTCCTGGACAGGGCCGCCTGTGGAGCTGGTTGACAGTTGCCTTTTGTATCTATGCTTCTTTTTCTATGTCTGCTTCTGTCTCCTTGAACCCCAGTCGGGCTAACGTTAGCCCGTCTGCAGCAGCCCTCTCTCTGCATAGCTGTGTGTGACGGATCGCTGGCTCTGATGGAGGTTTGATTGTTTTATTTAGTGAAACCAGGGCTGTCATCTCTCACCCACTGCGTCTCTCAGTGTCTGCTCACGCTCTCACTCCATATCCGCAATTTTTCACGCAAAAAAATGACGGACATTAAAACTCAAATCCATTCCACTTATATACATATATCTATATCTATATAGATATATGTATAGATATCATCCATCCATCCATTTAATCTCAGATCCATTTTTTTCTGTAGAGATTTTTATTCATCACCTCTTCTATGTGTCACAGGTTACATTTGCTCACATTAAGCTCAGCTTCACTAAACATTGAAGTGCTTTAAATGAGGTTTCCTCCTAACTTCACAGCAACATGTGGAAATCAGAGTGAAACAACAACTTCTGCTACAGTTTCTGTCTTCACAGGAAATGAAACCTTCTTATCTGCAGCAGACATCATGTTTTACCGTCAGGGCAAACTGACCTCAGATCAGTTCACCGCTGCTTCGTCGTCTGTACAGCAACAAGAACACATGACATCGCAGAGTGACATCACATTATGACATCAGAATAAATCCTTCATTACCACCGAAATATTAAAGATTATCATCTGGATCAGGAGGAAACATTTCATTCATTAAAGGCAAATTAACTTATTTAGAAATGTTTAAAATATCTAAGATTTTTGATATTTTTAGTGTAAAACTTTGTTTTATGTTGAATTTTTAATTCAACGTTCAGTTTGACTTTCAATTAAAACTATTGTCAGTAAAATCAAATGTAACATTTTCTATAAATAAATAAATACAGATACAATCAGTATATAAATATGAATACATAGGAAATTATATCATCTCTTTAAAGTAGCAACATTTATTCTGAATAGACTTTTAAATCACAAACTATTTCCTTGGATTTTATAATCCTGCTCTGATTAAACCACCTTAATAAAATGAATAAATGAACATTTTACAAACAAACAGCAGACAGATCAACATTATAATATAGTGCTCTTTATAAGACATCAACAACTCTTCAAAAAGAAATTTGATTTGATCAGAAATATTTCAAAGTGAATCTTTCATCTGAGAAATTTCAAAAGGGCAACAATTAAATTAAACCTTTCATTTCATTTATAGTTTTACTTCATTTCAGAAGATATTTCACAGTAACGTCTAATGATAAAATTTGTTTCTGTCTTCCAGCCCAGCAGATTTTTAATATTCTGATGTTTCATACCTGTTCCACCGGGTCAGGGCCTCCAGTTGGGCCCTACAGCGCCATCTGCAGGCTGATTGTCACTAAACTTAGATCTCCTTCACTATCATGGCAGCTACAGCTTCTGCAGAGTGGAGACCTGGGACCTGCAGGGTCTGTATGGCAAGCCAAGAACGCCACTATTCGCATCTAATTATCACATTAAGACTGAAATTCACCCGCTAAAAGCCCGTTTTCCAAAATTTCGCCACTTTTTTCGCCGTCTTTTACCAACAAGCGCCGCTTTTTACGTCCGTCATGATGCTACCGCAAGACGCGCAACATGTCCTTCCTTCTTTTCTGACAGCCCATGCATTTGAACTGGTTGCATCCAATTGCTGATCAAGGCAGCCAGAATAAGAAAGTTCAGCACAGATCAGCTTGGTGGAAAACTCTGCAGAGGTCAGTGTGGCAGCGCTGCCAAAGTTCACTGCATCGTCGTTTCACAAAGCCTTCATTTTAGGAATATATCCACTACACGCTCTCTGCTGTTAGTTTGAATCCATTTCCATTATTATTTTCATGTAAAAAACGTTTTTCACCAACAGGCATCGCTGACTAATGCTTTGTGCCTTAAAGTTATTTATTGGAGCAGTTCACCAGTTTTTGCGACTAAGAACAGTGGACAGAGTGACCACATGTCATGCAAACTTTTTTATCTTCAATACAGGTTCGAATCCGGCTGATGCAGTTCGACTCTTTCCTTTATATTCTCTCCTGTCTCTAACCAAGCCCGTTTCGTAGTTTTTTAGTTTTAAACATAATCCATAAATGTAGCTACTTAACTGTTGTTTTTGACCCATTCTTTCTTTCATGTAAAAACGTATTACATTGTGCTAATAGAATGACAATAAAGGCGCCACTTGTGTTCCAGAAAATGTATCTGTCTGACTTGTTTTTTTTGACACGCGTTGTCTGGGTAAGAACGCGTGTGAAGAACGCGCGCTTTGAGCGGTCAATATGTGCGTTAAGAACGAGCGTCTTGCGGTAGCATCATGACGGACATAAAGAGCTTCGCTTGTTGGTAAAAGACGGCGAAAAAAGCGGAGAAATTTCAGAAAAATGGGCGCTTTTAGCGTGTGAATTTCAATCTTAGCGTGATAATTTGATGCTAATAGTGGCGTTCTTGGCTCGCCATACTGGGCGCGCGGTGAGGCTGATGATCTGTTTTTAAACTCTCTCCTCTGACGGTCTCTGCGCTCACGTTGTTAAACTGGATCTAAATGAACCAAAGCCAACCGACCAATCACAGACAGGCATTCCTTTTTCATCCAATCAAAGGAATCCTTACTAATACCAACCGCTGCACCATCAGGGGCAGCGATACCTGAAGCCAAAGGTAGGAATTTAGAAGACATCAGGCTGGAATAAATGTTTTATATTAATGTAACATAATAATATTTGAATCTGAAATATTCTTTTTATTTTCCTGAGCAACTGAATCCATGTGAACCAGGATTTTTTCCTGCTGTGAGGTAAAACTGATCCTATTGTTTATTGTTTTACTGCTGGTGTTTTGACCTTTGACCTTCTTCAGCTAAAGTCTACATCTTTCGATGCGAAGGAAATAATTAAATCCTCAAAATGAGATAAAAACATTGTTTGGATGCATCTCAATGCAGAATATCTAAGGACTCTTCTGATTGGATGAAAGAATTAAAACGGCCTGCCTGTTTTTGATTGGTCAGTTGGTTCATTGAGCGCAGAGACGGAGCGGAGCGCGGAGGAAAGGAGAGACGCAGGAGACGGTGGAGCAGAGACGGTCTGAGGAGGAGGTCATGGGTCCGACCGCGCGCTCAGGACAGCGGCAGAAACATGATACCATCGGACCCCCAGGAAGGAGGTCATCCAGCAGCAGGAGCTCCCAGGTCTCCAGAGAACATCAGTAATGGGAGGGGGGCGGAGCCTCTGGGGTCAGAAGGGCTTCACAGGGAGCTCTGTGGAGACGATGCTCCGTGTTTTCCTAAGAAGCTGGACTTTGGTTCAGGGAATGGTTTCAGCTTCAGGATTCTGGACCTGAACCGGGTTCTGGACCTGAACCGGGTTTGGTTCTGGTCGGGTTTGGTTCTTCAGAAGAGCAAATAAACCAGGCGACCATGTTGGATTATGATGTCAGAGTTTCCCTCAGCATCTCAGAACAAACGGTTCCAATCAGATGCAGATCAGAAATTTTTGTCTGGGTCATTTTTCCAAACTTGAAAAGATCAATTGTAGCAAAAAAGAAAAAGAAAATCAATAATCTATAATCTAAGCTGAACCTTTCATGAACAGAACCTGAGCCAAACAGCTGATGTTCACCATCTTCCTCTATTTTCTGTTGTTCCTCTGCTACAGATGTCAGCCAGCAGGGGGCGCTGCTGCACAGCTTCAGCTCTGGTCTCTAATGAGGAGTTTAGATTCATCATGGAAAAACATCTTCAAACTGAGGATAAAAAGAGTCAGAAGCTGAGGAATTATTTAAGAGGTCAGACCAGACGAAACCAGATCTGATAAATCCTGGAAATGATTTCTCCACATTTAAGTTTTTATCTGATGAACTTTGTTTCATCTGATCAGAGTTCTGGATGGACGTCGGGACCGGGCCCGTTTCAGCTGCAGGCGATTCAGCTGCCAGATGGATGTGATCATCTGGGAGAGGGAAAAATCTGCAACCCTTAACATTAAACTGTCTAAACCCCAAACTGAAGCCAGGGTAACATCCTCTGGATCTGATTATCCCATCCGATGATCCAAAACGTTTTTATTTGACATTTATTGATGCAAAACGAGACAAAAAGTTTTAGAAAGCGTCACTATTTTCCTGAAGCAGAAGGCTGAGCTGCAGCTTGTCCAGCAGATAAGAAACCAGTACTCCCAGTTAAAGAACCGCTTCCTTTTCCAGAGGCTCCGCCCACTAAACCAAAGCCAGCAGATGGGCTTCTGATTGGTTACTTCCTGATAACAACAGGGTTGTGTTTGTTCACATTAAAAGAAATGTATGAGCTCATTTCACCGTTTTCTAAGCAGAAACAGACTTGAAACCAGTTTAAACTGGCTGTGAATCCGGTTTGATGTGTGGCTCGGTCAGCATGAGGTCCAACAGAACCAGAACCAACGCCGGAGAGATCAGAAGTTCTTTCAAAATAAAAGACCATCTGGTTCCAGGAAGCTGTGGGCGGAGCAAGGCGGGTGGGTGGTGTGTGTGTGTGTGTGTGGGAGGGGGCGCTTGTTTTAACGGCGATGTGGGGACTGTTTACAGTCACATCATGGGGACCTATGTCCTTATTAGGTGGGTTAGGCCGTTTAAAATGAATGTAAGTCAATGACAGGTCCCCATAAGTCATGGAAACACAGCTGTGTGTGTGGCTCAGCAACAGCAATGAGGCCCGTTTGGACCCGGCGCCTCTCAGACCACGGTGCTGACGGATGGATCCGATAGGTTGAGCTGGCCGGTGATGTCCGTCGGGTACGGCTACAGGCGAGGGACAAAAACAAGGAGAGAGAGAAGAAAAGAAGTTAACTAAACTCTGAGCCGGCCTGAGGTTCTGCCTGAGCTCGCTCACACTGGCTTGGTTCTGATCCAGAACAGCTATCAGCAGTGGGGGGCAGCCAGACATCTCCTGGTTCTACAGAGCTCAAACGTCCTTTTGGGTCGGGACTGTGGACAGAACCAGGCCCCAAAAGGTCTAGGTGTACTGAGCAGTCACAGTTCCTTCTTCCCAGCAAAGGTAGATTCTAATCTATTCTGATCTATGAGGTTTGATTAAAAAACTAAAACACTAATTTAATAAATTCATCACTTTCTAACATTTTTCTATTTCCATCTGTAAATCACTGCAGGAAGTCAGAATACATTTCCTGATGGACCGGGACTCTGTCTCGCTGTCTCCTCTGGAAGGAACCAGGCATCCGAAAGCTCTTCATCTGGGTTCTTACAGCTCGTTTCTGTCGCCCTCTGCTGCTAAAGCATCAGAATGCAGGCGGAAATCTTTAATCCAGACTATGAAACGAGTTCATCCCATTGGCGGCTGGCCAATACAGGCCGCTAGGACGCCGCCCCACCCACCCCATGACTCTGATTATGACATAAAAAATTTTGTTTTAGCGATAATTTTGTTCCAGATTACAATTTAAAATATTTTCGAAATGTATTGATACATATTTTTTAGATGTGGAAGATAAATATTTAATCTTTAATGACGAGTAAAGCATCATTTCACTGGTTTAGAAAAGGCAAAGAAGAACGAACAATCTGGGATTCACATGGAAAATAATAGAATATATTCTACTTTTTCTACATGTTTGTTTATTTGCATAGCTGCTCTTAAAGGGGAATTTCATTTTTTTTTACATTGGCCCCTTGATTTTACGTTATTCCATCATGTTCTACTCTCCCATCTGAGTTTAGTGTCATTTGGAGCCGTTCTGAAGATATTCCGTTAGGTTATATCCAGTAACGTCTTCCTATGGGCAACGACTTGAAGCAGAAACTAAACTGTTCATAACTTAGTTGATTGGTTTTTGGTTTACGTGTTGAACGTATAGCCTCACCAGCCGCCGATGGTTCATCCACTCATTTCATAGTTTGAACAGAGTCCAGATCTCTCTGCTCCTCTGAGGAAATCAGAGGGAAGCTATGCAGCAGAGAAAATACTCTGGTTTAGATCTGTAGCTTCTGAAATCCTCAGATTTTATAGATCCTCTGAGTTCTGAAAGAGCAGCCTGACCTTACAGTAGCAGTAGGGGGCGCTGTGTCCACCTGATAAAGATATAATGAGGCGGTCTGCTGCTGTGGTTTAGCTCCACAGCTCAGCTGTTCCAGCTCATGAATTAAACACCATCTTCAATCATCTCATCTGGTCTGAGGTTCTGCTCCACCACAGGGAACATTAAACTTTCATCTGCAGAGCAGAGCAAGGCAGCAGCCCTCAGCCTCTCAGCTGCTGGTTCAACTCCCACTTTGCGTGTTTTTGCTCAGAGGTAACGAGGCTCTGAGCACACACAGCTGAACCAGGATCTCTGATGTTCCTTCCTTCTTGGAACTTCAGTGTTCCTTCATTTTAGCTCAACATCCTGAAAATGTTTCAACATGTTTGAGGAAATCTCAGATTGGGAACTTTTGGATGTTCTGCTGGTTCCTTCAGACCCGCCCTCTGGGGGGCGCTGCAGCAGATGTTAGGGTTTTAAACATCTTTATCTCCTCTGGTGCTCCAGCCATCAGCATCTCCTCCTTGAAGCCTTTGCTCCATCCTGGCAGCTCCGCATACATACTCCTGTCCAACATGTCTGTCTCAGACTCCTAACCAGAGGTATCATCGGTCGCTCCCTCTGAGCTCTCGACTTGCTCCACGCCCCATCCGGCCCAGAAGCTCCCATCACGGCTGTGGGAATGTTCCACAGACTAAGGTCAGCTGATCCTGGACAGCCTAGATCAGACGCCCTTTGACCTTGGACTGGACCCTTCGTCTCCCTGCTATCTGCTCATATTCACCAGGCTCCTCTTGATACGTTTTGGAATCGAGATCTTGCAGGTCTAAAGTGCTAGCATGCTAGCATGCTAACATTAGCCTCTCAGAGCATGCTGCTTACTCACATCTTCTGAAGCGTCATGGTGACTCACTAACAGCCATGGCTTTCTGCAGCATAAAAATGCCATAAATATTCCCTATCATCTGCTGGTGAAGATCCTCAGTCATCCAGGTCAGTTGTTCCAATAAAGGTTAAAAATCAATCCTCTGGACTTTGTTTCCAAGTTTGAAGACGTTTCTCTTCCATCCAGGAAGATTTTTCAATCCAAATGTCAGAAATAGCGTTTAGTTCCAGGTTTTATCCAGCAGCCCAACAAAGCCTGGTTTTAGTTTAGAAAACATGCAAATAGAAACGGATGAACGGGTCCCCCCCCTTTGGAATGGGGGTCGTTTGGCTTCTTTGTTAGCCTGCAATGCCCCATACCTGTCTATGTCTCTGAAAGGGGGGTCGTTAGAGGGAATAGTTGGCCTGGCTGAACAGGCGATGTCCTCTTTTCCTCTGTAATGGGGTAACGACTATAGCAGGAAGAAATCAACACAAAAAAAAGTTGATTCCTTCCCACTCTCATTTCAACCCCTTTACAGGAGAACAGAAGACCTCCCCTATTCAGCCAGGCCATCAATTCCCTCTAATGACCCCCCTTTCAGAGGCATAGACAGGTATGGGGCATTGCAGGCTAACAAAGAAGCCAAACGACCCCCATTCCAAAGGGGGGGGACCCGTTCATCCGTTTCTATTTGCATGTTTTCATGCAAATTTTTTATTGAAAAATCTTCCTGGATGAGAAGCGAAAAGTCTTCAAACTTGGAAAACAAGTCCAGTGGATTGATTTTAACTTCATAGCTGGAAGCATTGCATCAGCGTTAGCTTCTGGTTTATACTTTCTAAGGTCTTTTTACCGTCTGGATTCCATCCCTTAGAAACTGCAGGGTCTCCATTCTGACCTCCTCTACCAACCGCTCCATCAGAAGCAGCTTAGAGCTGATTCCTGACGTAGCCCCACCTCTCCACCGTCCCTGCACACCTCCTGCTCCGTCTGCCGCCCTGACATCCTCTTCCTCACAACCCTGAATGTTTCAGGAGTTTCCCTTCCTCCACAGACCTCACAGCTGCTGAGGGAAGCATGCAGACATCAGACTGGAGCAGAGAAAAATCTAAAGCATGAGAACAGCAGGAGCGGAGACCCTGTGATGCAGCGGCTGCTCTACGGGTTCAACCAGGTGCAGGATTCATTTTGGAGATGTTTAGGGGGACCTGGAATCTACCCCGGTTCTCCTTCCTGGTTCCACCTCTGAAGGACATCAGAGGAGGATCCTGAACATCAGGGACTCAGGAAGCCTGTTTCTGCTTCTCTACCACTGCTGATGAAGCTGTTCGCTCTAACCTGGAGTCCCTGTGTGTGTGTGTGTCAGCCGTGCTTGCAGAGGAGGACGGAGGCAGTGTGTGTGTAGCACAGCATAGAGTCTGGACACCATTTAAATCCACCCAGAGAGAGAAAAACACTAATATAGGAAGTAAAGAGAGACGATCACAGTGAGAAACGAGTCCGAGTCTGCTCCCACAACTCACCGGCCAACCCGCGGCCCAAGACCCCCCCATGAAGACAGAAACACGGGGAGATCAGAGAGAAGACAGGAGCAGAGAACAGAGTTCAGATTATCTCTGAGATCTGAATCTGAGAAGGAGTCAGAGAGCAGGAGAGATCAGGAACTCCTGGTCTGTCCTGGAGACAGCCAGAGACGCTGCAACAGAGGCGGGTTAGAGGACGCAAACAAGTGTCCACTGGCCGACCTGAGAGGACAAGATGCTGGCCGTTAGTGGAGAAGACAGGCTGAGGACAGGACAGGACAGGACAGACGAGACGGACAAACACTGACGACCACACAGGCTGACCCTCTTCCCTTCTCCTTTGCAAGAGGACGATGTGATCAGTGTGGGACTAAGACTGGAACCTGAACTTCCTGCAGGCGTCTGTCTGACTGGGGGTAGGATGGAGGTTGGATGGAGGATGGATGGATGGAGGATGGATGGAGGATGGATGGAGGATGGATGGAGGATGGATGAAGGATGGATGGAGGATGGATGGAGGATGGATGAAGGACAGGCGTGTAGCAGGAAGCTGAAGGAGCAGCTGATGGGAGGACAGAGCTGAGGTGATGTGACTGATGAGATGGATCAGGAATGTCAGAGAGAGAAGAAGCAGGCAGCAAACCATAAAAATAAAAAAAAGCATAAGAGGACAGTTGGGAGAAGGACAGATGGTCTTCATGTCCTTACCGTGGGGTCCCCGGGGGCCAAACGGCGTTTGAGGTCGGAGGTCGAAGTGATGGACCTAAAAGAGGTTTGGGGCTCGGGCTCTGCTCTACCACTTTTCCTATCCTACAATAGATCATACGATAGGTGCACACACACATTAACAGGCAGCAGACACTGAAGCACACACTCACGCCTGCAGGGGGCGACACTGACTCTGAATGTGTGTGACGGAAAGTAGCGGAGCGGCTGGCTGCAGGAGGGCGCTAACAGCGCTAACAGACCAGGGACTCAAGCCGAGGGTGGACATAAAAGGAGGCGGAGTGTTTGGAGGTAGAGGCCTGAACTTCCTCCTCTCGCAGAACGAGGAAAGATCTCCGCGGTTAAACCTTGAACCTAGAAACCGATTCGCTTTGAGAACGTCCTGACCTGATCCAGCAGATGGCTCTACCTGCCGGTGCCCTGTGACTGGAATCCCAGGAAACCCTCTGTTACCGTTCAGGGAAATCTCCCAGATCATCAGACAAATATCAGACAAAGAAGACTTGGAACAGCCTGGATGAAAATGCTCCTCAGCTTGGGGTCACTAACCTTTGGTTCCATCAGACTCAGTGGTTTGGGTCCTAAAACAGCCCACAGCCTCACTCTCTCACCACCATGCGGCTGCAGGTTCTGCTCCAGATGGAACTGGACTAACCCCTTCCATCAGGTCCATCAGGTCCATTCAGTAGCCGACTGGACGGCTGACCTCTGACCTCAGAGGATGTCCTGGTTCTGCTGGGAAGGTTCTCCGCTGTTCCATGTGTTCTCCATGTGTGGACCATGGTTATCCTGTGGCTCTTTCCGATCTAACCCCCCTAGATGCTGTCTGACTGATGCTGTTCTCCTGTCAGGTTTAGCTGGGGGGGTCCATGGGGGGGGGGCTCCATGTGTTCAGCTCAGAAACCTGACCCTTTTATTGCAACAGAACCGCTTCTGCAGCCCAAACAAATTCTTCTCCTTCTGGGTTCTGGAATTAGGATGACCCGACCCGATCTGGCCCGAACCGACATGACCCGACCCGATCTGGCCCGAACCGACATGACCCGACCCGATCTGGCCCGAACTGACCTGACCCGACCCGATCTGGCCCGAACCGACATGACCCGACCCGATCTGGCCCGAACCGACATGACCCGACCCGATCTGGCCCGAACTGACCTGACCCGACCCGATCTGGCCCGAACCGACATGACCCGACCCGATCTGGCCCGAACTGACATGACCTGACCCGATCTGGCCCGAACCGACATGACCCGACCCGATCTGGCCCGAACTGACATGACCTGACCCGATCTGGCCCGAACCGACATGACCCGACCCGATCTGGCCCGAACCGACATGACCCGACCCGATCTGGCCCGAACCGACATGACCCGACCCGATCTGGCCCGAACCGACATGACCCGACCCGATCTGGCCCGAACCGACATGACCCGACCCGATCTGGCCCGAACTGACATGACCTGACCCGATCTGGCCCGAACCGACATGACCCGACCCGATCTGGCCCGAACCGACATGACCCGACCCGATCTGGCCCGAACTGACATGACCCGACCCGATCTGGCCCGAACCGACATGACCCGACCCGATCTGGCCCGAACCGACATGACCCGACCCGATCTGGCCCGAACCGACATGACCCGACCCGATCTGGCCCGAACTGACCTGACATGACCCGATCTGGCCCGAACCGACATGACCCGACCCGATCTGGCCCGAACTGACATGACCTGACCCGATCTGGCCCGAACTGACCTGACATGACCCGATCTGGCCCGAACCGACATGACCCGACCCGATCTGGCCCGAACCGACATGACCCGACCCGATCTGGCCCGAACTGACCTGACCTGACCCGATCTGGCCCGAACCGACATGACCCGACCCGATCAGGCCCGAACCGACATGACCTGACCCGATCTGGCCCGAACCGACCTGACCCGACCCGATCTGGCCCGAACCGACATGACCCGACCCGATCTGGCCCGAACCGACATGACCCGACCCGATCTGGCCCGAACTGACCTGACATGACCCGATCTGGCCCGAACCGACATGACCCGACCCGATCTGGCCCGAACTGACATGACCTGACCCGATCTGGCCCGAACTGACCTGACATGACCCGATCTGGCCCGAACCGACATGACCCGACCCGATCTGGCCCGAACCGACATGACCTGACCCGATCTGGCCCGAACTGACCTGACCCGACCCGATCTGGCCCGAACTGACATGACCTGACCCGATCTGGCATGACCTGACCCGATCTGGCCCGAACCGACCTGACCCGATCTGGCCCGAACCGACATGACCTGACCCGATCTGGCCCGATCTGGCATGACCTGACCCGATCTGGCCCGAACCGACCTGACCCGATCTGGCCCGAACCGACATGACCTGACCCGATCTGGCCCGAACTGACATGACCCGACCCGATCTGGCCCGAACCGACATGACCAAACCTGCTCCTCCCTGATGCAATCCAGTCCAGCCCTAACCTACCGGACCCGAACCAATCTGGCCGAAACTGACCTGATCTGGCCCAAACCGACATGACCCGACCCGATCTGGCCCGAACCGACATGACCTGACCCGATCTGGCCCGAACCGACATGACCCGACCCGATCTGGCCCAAACCGACATGACCCGACCCGATCTGGCCCAAACCGACATGACCCGACCCGATCTGGCCCAAACCGACATGACCTGACCCGATCTGGCCCGAACCGACATGACCTGACCCGATCTGGCCCGAACCGACATGACCCGACCCCATCTGGCCCGAACCGACATGACCTGACCCGATCTGGCCCGAACCGACATGACCTGACCCGATCTGGCCCGAACTGACCTGACCTGACCCGATCTGGCCCAAACCAACATGACCCGACCCGATCTGGCCCGAACCGACATGACCCGACCCGATCTGGCCCGAACCGACATGACCAAACCTGCTCCTCCCTGATGCAATCCAGTCCAGCCCTAACCTACCGGACCCGAACCAATCTGGCCGAAACTGACCTGATCTGGCCCAAACCGACATGACCCGACCCGATCTGGCCCGAACCGACATGACCTGACCCGATCTGGCCCAAACCGACATGACCCGACCCGATCTGGCCCAAACCGACATGACCCGACCCGATCTGGCCCAAACCGACATGACCCGACCCGATCTGGCCCAAACCGACATGACCCGACCCGATCTGGCCCGAACCGACATGACCCGACCCGATCTGGCCCAAACTGACATGACCTGACCCGATCTGGCCCGAACCGACATGACCCGACCCGATCTGGCCCGAACCGACATGACCCGACCCGATCTGGCCCGAACCGACATGACCTGACCCGATCTGGCCCGAACCGACATGACCCGACCCGATCTGGCCCGAACCGACACGACCCGACCCGATCTGGCCCGAACCGACACGACCTGACCCGATCTGGCCCGAACCGACATGACCTGACCCGATCTGGCCCGAACCGACATGACCCAACCCGATCTGGCCCGAACCGACATGACCCGACCCGATCTGGCCCAAACCGACATGACCTGACCCGATCTGGCCCGAACTGACCTGACCTGACCCCATCTGGCCCGAACCGACATGACCCGACCCCATCTGGCCCGAACCGACATGACCTGACCCGATCTGGCCCGAACCGACATGACCTGACCCGATCTGGCCCGAACTGACCTGACCTGACCCGATCTGGCCCAAACCAACATGACCCGACCCGATCTGGCCCGAACCGACATGACCCGACCCGATCTGGCCCGAACCGACATGACCAAACCTGCTCCTCCCTGATGCAATCCAGTCCAGCCCTAACCTACCGGACCCGAACCAATCTGGCCGAAACTGACCTGATCTGGCCCAAACCGACATGACCCGACCCGATCTGGCCCGAACCGACATGACCTGACCCGATCTGGCCCGAACTGACCTGACCTGACCCGATCTGGCCCAAACCGACATGACCTGACCCGATCTGGCCCGAACCGACATGACCCGACCCGATCTGGCCCAAACCGACATGACCTGACCCGATCTGGCCCGAACTGACCTGACCTGACCCGATCTGGCCCGAACCGACATGACCCGACCCCATCTGGCCCGAACCGACATGACCCGACCCGATCTGGCCCGAACTGACATGACCCGACCCGATCTGGCCCGAACCGACATGACCAAACCTGCTCCTCCCTGATGCAATCCAGTCCAGCCCTAACCTACCGGACCCGAACCAATCTGGCCGAAACTGACCTGATCTGGCCCAAACCGACATGACCCGACCCGATCTGGCCCGAACCGACATGACCTGACCCGATCTGGCCCGAACCGACATGACCCGACCCGATCTGGCCCAAACCGACATGACCCGACCCGATCTGGCCCAAACCGACATGACCCGACCCGATCTGGCCCAAACCGACATGACCTGACCCGATCTGGCCCGAACCGACATGACCTGACCCGATCTGGCCCGAACCGACATGACCTGACCCGATCTGGCCCGAACCGACATGACCCGACCCGATCTGGCCCGAACCGACATGACCCGACCCGATCTGGCCCGAACCGACATGACCTGACCCGATCTGGCCCGAACCGACATGACCCGACCCGATCTGGCCCGAACCGACACGACCCGACCCGATCTGGCCCGAACCGACACGACCTGACCCGATCTGGCCCGAACCGACATGACCTGACCCGATCTGGCCCGAACCGACATGACCCAACCCGATCTGGCCCGAACCGACATGACCCGACCCGATCTGGCCCAAACCGACATGACCTGACCCGATCTGGCCCGAACTGACCTGACCTGACCCGATCTGGCCCGAACCGACATGACCCGACCCCATCTGGCCCGAACCGACATGACCTGACCCGATCTGGCCCGAACCGACATGACCTGACCCGATCTGGCCCGAACTGACCTGACCTGACCCGATCTGGCCCAAACCAACATGACCCGACCCGATCTGGCCCGAACCGACATGACCCGACCCGATCTGGCCCGAACCGACATGACCAAACCTGCTCCTCCCTGATGCAATCCAGTCCAGCCCTAACCTACCGGACCCGAACCAATCTGGCCGAAACTGACCTGATCTGGCCCAAACCGACATGACCCGACCCGATCTGGCCCGAACCGACATGACCTGACCCGATCTGGCCCGAACTGACCTGACCTGACCCGATCTGGCCCAAACCGACATGACCTGACCCGATCTGGCCCGAACCGACATGACCCGACCCGATCTGGCCCAAACCGACATGACCTGACCCGATCTGGCCCGAACTGACCTGACCTGACCCGATCTGGCCCGAACCGACATGACCCGACCCCATCTGGCCCGAACCGACATGACCCGACCCGATCTGGCCCGAACTGACATGACCCGACCCGATCTGGCCCGAACCGACATGACCAAACCTGCTCCTCCCTGATGCAATCCAGTCCAGCCCTAACCTACCGGACCCGAACCAATCTGGCCGAAACTGACCTGATCTGGCCCAAACCGACATGACCCGACCCGATCTGGCCCGAACCGACATGACCCGACCCGATCTGGCCCGAACCGACATGACCTGACCCGATCTGGCCCGAACTGACCTGACCTGACCCGATCTGGCCCAAACCGACATGACCTGACCCGATCTGGCCCGAACCGACATGACCCGACCCGATCTGGCCCAAACCGACATGACCTGACCCGATCTGGCCCGAACTGACCTGACCTGACCCGATCTGGCCCGAACCGACATGACCCGACCCCATCTGGCCCGAACCGACATGACCCGACCCGATCTGGCCCGAACTGACATGACCCGACCCGATCTGGCCCGAACCGACATGACCAAACCTGCTCCTCCCTGATGCAATCCAGTCCAGCCCTAACCTACCGGACCCGAACCAATCTGGCCGAAACTGACCTGATCTGGCCCAAACCGACATGACCCGACCCGATCTGGCCCGAACCGACATGACCCGACCCGATCTGGCCCGAACCGACATGACCTGACCCGATCTGGCCCGAACCGACATGACCCGACCCGATGTGGCCGAAACTGACCCGATCTGGCCCGAACCGATATGACCTGACCCGATCTGGCCCGAACCGACATGACCCGACCCGATCTGGCCCGAACCGACATGACCCGACCCGATCTGGCCCGAACCGACATGACCCGACCCGATCTGGCCCGAACCGACATGACCCGACCCGATCTGGCCCGAACTGACCTGACCCGACCCGATCTGGCCCGAACTGACATGACCTGACCCGATCTGGCCCGAACTGACATGACCAAACCATGACCAAACCTGCCCAAACATTCACATCCCGCCACGCTGACCCCCAGCTGCCCCGGTTCATCCCTCCACGCTGACCCCCAGCTGATCCGGTTCATCCCGCCACTCTGACCCCCAGCTGACCCGGTTCATCCCGCCACGCTGACCCCCAGCTGACCCGGTTCATCCCGCCACGCTGAACCCCAGCTGACCCTGTTCATCCCGCCACGCTGACCCCCAGCTGACCCGGTTCATCCCGCCACTCTGACCCTCAGCTGACCCGGTTCATCCCGCCACGCTGACCCCCAGCTGACCCGGTTCATCCCGCCACGCTGAACCCCAGCTGACCCGGTTCATCCCGCCACGCTGACCCCCAGCTGACCCGGTTCATCCCGCCACGCTGAACCCCAGCTGACCCGGTTCATCCCGCCACTCTGACCCCCAGCTGACCCAGTTCATCCCGCCACACTGACCCCCAGCTCACCCAGTTCATCCCTCCACGCTGACCCCCAGCTGACCCGGTTCATCCCGCCACTCTGACCCCCAGCTGACCCAGTTCATCCCATCACACTGACCCCCAGCTGACCCGGTTCATCCCGCCACGCTGACCCCCAGCTAACCCGGTTCATCCCGCCACGCTGACCCCCAGCTGACCCGGTTCATCCCGCCACTCTGACCCCCAGCTGACCCGGTTCATCCCGCCACTCTGACCCCCAGCTGACCCGGTTCATCCCGCCACACTGACCCCCAGCTGACCCGGTTCATCCCGCCACTCTGACCCCCAGCTGACCCGGTTCATCCCGCCACACTGACCCCCAGCTGACCCGGTTCATCCCGCCACACTGACCCCCAGCTGACCCGGTTCATCCCGCCACACTGACCCCCAGCTGACCCGGTTCATCCCGCCACACTGACCCCCAGCTGACCCGGTTCATCCCGCCACGCTGACCCCCAGCTGACCCGGTTCATCCCGCCACTCTGACCCCCAGCTGACCCGGTTCATACCGCCACTCTGACCCCCAGCTGACCTGGTTCATCCCGCCACTCTGACCCCCAGCTGACCCGGTTCATCCCGCCACACTGACCCCCAGCTGACCCGGTTCATCCCGCCACGCTGTCCCCCAGCTGACCCGGTTCATCCCGCCACGCTGACCCCCAGCTGACCCGGTTCATCCCGCCACGCTGACCCCCAGCTGACCCGGTTCATCCCGCCACGCTGACCCCCAGCTGACCCGGTTCATCCCGCCACGCTGACCCCCAGCTGACCCGGTTCATCCCGCCACTCTGACCCCCAGCTGACCCGGTTCATCCCGCCACGCTGTCCCCCAGCTGACCCGGTTCATCCCGCCACGCTGACCCCCAGCTGACCCGGTTCATCCCGCCACACTGACCCCCAGCTGACCCGGTTCATCCCGCCACGCTGTCCCCCAGCTGACCCGGTTCATCCCGCCACTCTGACCCCCAGCTGACCCGGTTCATCCCGCCACGCTGACCCCCAGCTGAGGTCCTGCTGGAAACGGTTGGAGAAGATGAAAGATCAGTAGAGGAGGAGGCACATGATGCTGAGTGCGAGTGACACCTTCCAGATAAATCCGTCACTTCTTCCTGCTGAAACCAAGATCAACCTAGACCTGATCGACACACCCAGCCACAATCTGTTACCATGACAACACCGATGCAACACACAGGTCACGTGACAAACATGTATTCTTGAACTAAACCTTTAGGGAGTTGATCATGTGGAGGAAACAAGTCCAGATTATTTTCATCATGGTCAGCAACCCAGAGTGCCGATGCTTCGCCAGCCGACGCCAACGTACCTGCAGGTTCTTCCTCCACACATTGACGGCAGCGAAGGCCAGCTGCATCTGCTTCCTGCGGGCGTCTTTATGACGCTTGTAGGCGATCTCGATGAAGATGAGGAAGATCCCTGCCACGATGCCGCCAGCGACCAGCATGAACACACCTGAGGACAACCAGGCTTCCTTTATACCTGAGGGAGGAGGATGAGGAAGAGGAGGGCAAAGCTTGCTTCCTACCTGCCATGTTCTCGAAGGTTAGGGTGGCAGGCGCGTTGCTCCTGGAGTCACACTCCTGGTATCGGACCCAGGTCTTATCCAGGTCTTCCATGAAGCCGTTCTCATGAGAGCTGTAGAGAAAGGGGGCAGGGCATCGGTGGGCGGGGCTTAACACATGGGGCGGGACTCTGCTGTGGCGTTCGGTACCTGAGGATGGCCAAAGACACGTTCTGCTTCCAAGGACTGTCTTTCCTCATGCCGATCCCAAAACCAGAGCGGAAGAAAAGCTCCCCCGTCGTCACCAGGTCGCACTTTTGTGACGCCTCGAACTCCAGCACGGCGCTGTCCCAGATGAAGGCGTGCAGCTTGCTGAGGGGGAGGAACACAAACATCAGACGCAGACAGCGGAGGGAGACGGTGGCGCTGCAGCAGAGGATGGCGCCTACTTGTCTCGGACGGCCTGGATGGCCTCAGCGGCACTCTCGTAGTTGTGTTTCTCCATGTGCCGGTACATGGTGCTCAGCTCCACCTGCCGTCTGAAGTAGATATCCACCGAGCTCTGCTTCACTGTGGCGTAGATGAACTTATCTGATGGGTTACGCAGCTGGAAGCAGCAGAACAGCTGTTACTTTAAGATCCTGGGTCAGAGCGGGCCTCGGATTGAGCGGCGCCTCTCACCCTGGGGTCATTGATGCCAGTGATGCGCTCCTCAGGCCGGTCCAGCACAAGGAAGGCTGCCAGGTTGGCGGTGTATGATGCTACGATGATCATGGCGAATCCGGCCCACACCATCCCCAGGATCCGGGCGGAGAAGCTCCTGGGAGCTCCTACAGAGGAAGGAACGGAGACGGCATGAGGCGCTGCCGCCTGGGGGTGGGGTGGCGGGGGGGTGTGGGGTTGAATAAACCACTCTGTACCTTCTCCGATCCCAGAGTTCAGCAGAACTCCCCACGAGAACCACATGGCGGAGGAAAGGGTGAGGGCGTCTTCTTCTTCTTCTTCACTGTTAACTTTGAACCTTCCAAACGGGCTGAAAACACAAAGCAACGCCACACTGCCTCACTGGGTCTGGACCAATCAGGTCTGGCTTTTATTGGGACCAGGGGACGCACTGAGACTGGTTCAGAGGGCTGTTAGATCCCAGCCAATCAGATTACAGCATCAGAGCCAATCAGATTACAGCATCAGAGCCAATCAGATTACAGCATCACCAGACACTGGTTCTGATGGTGGGCTCCCAGTACAGATGGGACGTCATCTCCACAGTCTTTGCAGATTTTAATCTCTTTATGCCTTTTTTCAGCTACTGTCAATAATCAATCAATAAATCAGACCTGATCAACCACATATCTCTATACTTTACAAGGATCATTAGTTTAATGTCTGGATAAATCATTTTATGCTTATAGTGTTTATTAGACTAAAACATATTATTACTGGTTTATTAATCTGCATAACACTAATCCTTCTTTATAATATCCAGGTTGGGGGCCTGTCAGGGATCAACTCCTAAATATCACAGTTTATATAACATTTGTTTTTGACTTTTTTAGCATCAAAAACTGTTAAAAAGTTGGAGAATCTCAAGAAGGATTCTGAGACCAGATTATCGCTCTGGGCATAAACTGGGAGGGAGCAGCAGCTCATAAACATTTAGCAACAGATAAGATGAGGAAGAGGAGAGAAGATGAGGAAGAGGAGAGAAGAGGAGGAAGAGGAGAGAGGATGAGGAAGAGGAGAGAAGATGAGGAAGAGGAGAGAAGATGAGGAAGAGGAGAGATGGGGAAGAGGAGAGATGAGGAAGAGGAGGAGAGAAGATGAGGAAGAGGAGAGAAGATGAGGAAGAGGAGAGATGAGGAAGAAGAGATAAGATGAGGAAGAGGAGAGATGAGGAAGAGGAGAGAAGATGAGGAAGAGGAGATAAGATGAGGAAGAGGAGAGAAGATGAGGAAGAGGAGATAAGATGAGGAAGAGGAGAGATGGGGAAGAGGAGAGATGAGGAAGAGGAGGAGAGAAGATGAGGAAGAGGAGAGAAGATGAGGAAGAGGAGAGAAGATGAGGAAGAGGAGAGAAGATGAGGAAGAGGAGATAAGATGAGGAAGAGGAGATAAGATGAGGAAGAGGAGAGACACTAAAGGAGCACTTTGCAGCTATTTGGACCCCTGGATTAAATGTTTTGTCTGCAGATGTTTGCAGAGGTTCTGAATGAGGACTGGTGTGCTGGCAGCGGTACCGGGGTGGCGGTACTGATGGCGGCGGTAGGTGGTCTGCGTACCTGAACCGGTCCAATAGGTAAAGCATCACTGCCACCACATGGACCGACAGACCGACTAACAGCCACAGTGTGCTCTGGAACGGCTGCATGAACGAGTCCAGAGTGCTGCGAGGGATTTCCTGCAAAACACAAACACACAGACTCATACACACAGGAGAGGCAGAGATCCATCGGACCGGGTCTGGTTCTGGTCCGGACCGCAGCCAGCTGTGGTTCCCAGTTAAGCTGTGAGACGCTGGCTCAGTTATGGTCCATCAGCAGGAGGATTTAACCCTGATGAGATGAATGAGTGGAGCAGCTGGGGGTCCAGCAGGAGCAGCGTAACGGGAATATGGAACGCCGGCCCGGATTAAACGGGTCGATACCTCCTGAGAACCGGATCAGTATGCATCTGTCTGCAGAGGCAGCAGCGTGGGAACGTTTCCTCAACACCTTCACACACTGGAAACCTGCTCTCAGATCCCAACGGTACCAGAACCGGTTGGACTTAACAGAACCAGTAAATACTACGGATCAGCAGCAGGACCGGAGGACATGTTATTGGATTGGTTCTGCTAAGTAGATGCCCTGAAAGAGAGACTGGATCTGAATCAAGAACCCTATCATCCAGAACCTTCTGGTCCAGAACCTTCTGGTCCAGAACCATGGAACAAAGGAATAGCTCCAGATTTTCTGGGACAAAGCAGCGAGTCTAAAAGAGGCATATATCCAGAACCAATTTGTCAGCACTGATCCTGTTCAAACTAGACTGGGAGCAGTGGACGGATCATCAGAACCGATACAGAACCAGGGGAGAATTTGGCTGCGAAATTTCCAGCTGGAAAGTCAGTTCTGATGGCGTTTGGTTCTGATCTGTGCTGGGTTCAGCTCCTGACCCGTCCTCCCACTCTTGGTGCATCACAGACCTGTCAGCAGCTAGTTGGGGCACTAGCCGACCCTTGTGGAACCCTAATCGACCCTAATGTACCCTGGTCAGACTCCTAACGGACCTCTAATGGACCAGGGTTGGACCTCTAATGGACCTGGGTTGGATCCTGATGGACCAGGGTTGGATCCTGATGGACCAGGGTTGGATCCTAATGGACCCCGTGCGGAACTCTAATGAACTTGTGTCAGACTCTTAATAGATCTGCATCAGGCCCTAGTGGACTCGGGTCGAAACTCCTAATGGACCCAGGTTGGACCTCGAAGGGACCCGGTTCTGACCTCTAGTGATCTCGAATCGGCCCCTAATGGACTGGGGTCGGACTCCTAATGGACCCGGTTCGGACCTCTAATGGTCTCGAGTCGAACCCTAATAGACCCGGGTCAGACTCCTAATGGACCTAGGTCGGACCCTAATGGACCCGGGTCGGACCTCTAATGGACTTGGGTCAGACATCTAATAGACCCGAGTCAGACCCTAATGACCCGGGTCAGACCTCTAATGGACTTGGGTCAGACTCTTAATGGACCTGGGTCAGACTCTTAATGGACCAGGGTCTGACATCTAATGGACCCGAGTCAGACCCCAATGACCCGGGTCAGACCTCTAATGGACTTGGGTCAGACTCTTAATGGACCTGAGTCGGACCCTAATGGACCCGGGTCTGACCTCTAATGGACTTGGGTCTGACCTCTAATGGACCCGGGTCTGACCTCTAATGGACCTGAGTCGGACCCTAATGGACCCGGGTCTGACCTCTAATGGACTTGGGTCTGACCTCTAATGGACCCGGGTCTGACCTCTAATGGACTTGGGTCGGACTCTTAATGGACCTGAGTCGGAGCCTAATGGACCCGGGTCAGACCTCTAATGGACCTGGGTTGGACTCTTCATGGACCTGGATCTGACCTCTAATGGACTTGGGTCGGACCTCTAATGGACCTGGTTCGGACTCTAAATGGTCTGGAGTCAGACCCTAATCGGCTCGGGTCCTACTGATATGGAACATCTGTCAAACAGAGACGTTCCAACTCACAGAGGTGTGAAGACGTTCCGGCCTCCATGTTTGTCAGGTTGAGATCTGAACCTGGATCAGAACCGCCGCTCGCTACTCACTCACCTTCTTGACGAGGATGGTGAGCCCCTGGTACTTGAAGGGTTTGGAGAATTCGATGTACTGAGCACGCTCGTTGTTGATGGTGAGGGGAGCCACGATCATGTCAGCTAGGCCGCCCAGCAGCTCCCCCATCATCCCGTTCCACTCCTTCTTGTTGCTGTTGTTCACCTGCAGGAGGGAGAGCAGATCTGGCTGAACTGGACCCGTCAGAAACACATCAGAACAGACGCGGGGAAACAGGTCGTCTGAACCCGTTCTTATGAGCCGACAGGAAACAAATGAGCTGAAAAGACGTGGAACTATGAATCAGAGATTTAACTTGTCCAAGGGAATAAGTTTAATGCAGATGTCCCCACTGTGGGACAATAAAGGGATCTACATTTCCGTGACTATCGGTCCCTGCAGCGTGGAGGTGGGTGGAGTCATTTAAGTAGTGGGAGAGGGAGGGGTGGGGGGGTGTTGTCTGCAGAAGGTAAACACCACTGACGAGAAGATGAAGGGGGGGGAATGACCGGATCGCTATTGCTCTGCAAGGTCAAGTCAGAGCTGCAGTTACCATGGCAACAGGTCACATAGATGCCTCCATAGGAAATAAATCAGCATAAACAAACATCCGCCTCTTGATGGGATTTGAACATAATGGACCAAAACAGAACCAGAATATAATCCTCAGATCTGCCGCTAGGTAGCTATCTGCTGATTGGTCCGTCTGCTCCTGGATCGACCTATCAGAGAACATCCTGGACTGTTTTCCCACTGACCCGAGTTTGAACTCCCTCAGACTGTCCGAGGCTGGTCCCCTCTGGTCCAGTCCTGGTCAGTTCAGCCTAGTCCAGTTAATCACCACCAATCATACACATTTCTGCCCAAACGAGTCCAGCCCAGTCTAAACAGGTCCAATCCAGTCCTTAAAACTGACTGTTCAGATGAGGCATCCCCAAAGTCGGTCCTCGAGGGAAGCTGTCCTGCAGGTTTTAGAGTTGTCCCTGCTCCAGCACAGCTGATTTACACCAATAGCTGATTAACAGGCTTTTGCTGAACTGAAATCATCATAATTAGCTGTGCTAAAGCAGAGAAACCTCTAAAACCTGCAGGACAGCAGCCCTCCAGGACCGACTTTGGGGACAGTTCAGTTCATCATAAGAGTTTTGGGTCATTCTCATCTCTGGACCAGTCTGAACCAGGTCCAGTCGGCCCATCTCTGGACCAGTCTGAACCAGGTCCAGTTGGACCAATACTGGACCAGTCTGAACAAGGTCCAGTCATTTCTGGACCAGTCTGAACCAGGTCCAGTCAGCTCACCTCTGGACCAGTCTGAACAAGGTCCAGTTGGACCATCACTGGACCAGTCCTAACCAGGTCTGGCATCTCTGGACCAGTCTGAACCAGGTCCAGTCATTTCTGGACCAGTCTGAACCAGGTCCAGTCGGCCCATCTCTGGAGCAGTCTGAACAAGGTCCAGTTGGACCATCACTGGACCAGTCCTAACCAGGTCTGGCATCTCTGGACCAGTCTGAACCAGGTCCAGTCATTTCTGGACCAGTCTGAACCAGGTCCAGTCGGCCCATCTCTGGACCAGTCTGAACCAGGTCCAGTCATTTCTGGACCAGTTTGAACCAGGTCAAGTCAGCTCACCTCTAGACCAGTCTGAACCAGGTCCAGTCAGCTCACCTCTGGACCAGTCTAAACCAGGTCCAGTAAGCTCACCTCCGGACCAGTCTAAACCAGGTCCAGTAAGCTCACCTCTGGACCAGTCTAAACCAGGTCCAGTAAGCTCACCTCCGGACCAGTCTGAACCAGGTCCGGTCATCTCTGGACCAGTCTGAACAAGGTCCAGTAAGCTCACCTCTGGACCAGTCTGAACCAGGTCCAGTCAGCTCACCTCCGGACCAGTCTGAACCAGGTCCGGTCATCTTTGGACCAGTATGAACCAGGTCCAGTCAGCTCACCTCCGGACCAGTCTGAACCAGGTCCGGTCATCTCTGGACCAGTCTGAACCAGGTCCAGTCAGCTCACCTCGGGACCTGTCTAAATCAGGTCCGGTCATCTCTGGACATGTCAGGACCAGGTCCAGTCATTATTGGACTAGTCTGAACCAGGCCCAGGTGTCCCTCAGTTCTCCAGGAGCCAGGTCCAGCTCTACCAGCTGGACTCTGAGTTGAAATGAACCTGTCCCATCCGGTCACTGGGACCCGGCAGATCCACCTGGCCTGTGAGGGGTAGAATGATCTAGGACATATAGAAACTCACTCGCTCCTGTGTGCCAAACTTTCCATCAGCCACCAGGTGAACCTCGTAGGTGAAGTTCATGCTCATGGCCAGCTTGATGAGCAGGTCGATGCAGAAACCGTAGCAGCACTGAGGGACAGTGGGCTGACCTGCAAACATCCAGAACATCGTTAATGAGCAGGACACAAGGAGATCCGTTTCATTGGAAGGTCCAGATGCTTTCAACTAGAAGGTGGCAGAACGTCCCCCAGCTGCAGATAAGCCCCGCCCACTGACACCCAGTCCACTGTTTAGAGGAACACTTCTCTCACTCTGTATGAACCAGCTCTGACTGCCTAAGGGTGAAGCTCAGGTGTGCTTATCTACCTGGGATGGTCCCGTTGGGTCCGGTGCAGATCACCTTCTTGATCAGAACTCCGTTCACCGTGTACTCTTCTTTACACGTCCCATCGCTCTTCGTTGGCTTCACGTAAACAAATGGCTCCTGGTGAATGGTCACAATCTGAACACACAGACAGTGAAGCCGTCAGGTGTCTGATTGGAGGGGCCTCTGATGACATCACTAACTTATCCCACAGCAGAAAGAGACGAGGGTGATGATGGTTTCCTGAAAAGAACTAAACATGGTGGTAAGTTCACGAAGGACAAAGGTCCTGAGAGACAGCCCTGTGGTACGCCAAAGGGTGATTTTAAGCCTCTCGGTATAAAATAAATATTTTGATGGAGATGAGAAATCTGCTTCCTGGTCTGTTGAAGTACCGATAATCTGTATCCAGTCATTTAATTAAACGGTGTGAGGTTTAGGGAATGAAGAAGAATTATGCTCTGATTTGTAGTAACCGATCTGTGGTCACCTATTTTAATTTGACAAACCAAATCTTCTCGCCGTTCTTTCTCCTGTTTGGTGCGATTGCAACAGCGGATCTTGACCTGGCAGGTGTAAGCACCAGATCCTCTCAGGTCCTGCTTGCTGCCAGTGACGTTACCCTACATGATTGGCTGAACGTTGCCACATGATGTAAAACATTGTGGTTGCCCAGACAACGTTAATAACATCACGCAGCGTCAGTGTGCCGAGTCGTTAGCATCTGTAGCTGAAATTTAACCTGATTGATAAAAAAAACTATAAAAATCTGTTTCTGGTGAACAAAGTAACTGATATAAAGGAGGAGAGCTGGGTAGCGCTGTGGCGAGCTGAAGCTAACAGGTTAGCTTCTTTTAGCTCGGTCAGTTAGCCATATAAAGCTACACTAGAGTGACCAGACGTCCTCTTTTTCCCAGACGTCCTACTTTTCATACCTCAAAAAATGTCCAGGGGATGGAGCGACCGCACCCGACCCGGTGATGGTAGCCTGGACAACGGCTGTCCGGTAAGCCAGGAGGGGGTAAGCACGGGGCCGTTGTCCAGGCTATCGTCACCGGGTCGGGTTCGGACCAGCCTGGGAGCTGATGGCTCGTTTCGAAAGCCCGGTCTGGTCCAGTCAGTGGCCCAGCAGCCCCCCTTTTACAGGAACCCAAATCTGGTCACTAAACTACACAACTTTTAAATCCGTGTCAAAAACAACCGTTCACTTTTTAGGATGTCCCATTTGTCCTCGTCTGTCCTCAGATCTTAACAAATAGAATAAAAATAAGCTGAGAGTTTTATTGTCTCCTTGTTAAATAGCAGAGCTCAGTCAGTCTTTCCTTCCAGACGAACAATGATTGTTTTCTACTTTCGGCTAATTTAGATCGCTGATGAAATGTCAAATAATAGCAAATATAGGGAATAATATGTTGTATATACTTTGTTACTGTACTCAAGTAGATTTTTCTGATATTTTTACTTTACTTTACTACTTATTTTTATGGTGACTTTTTACTTCTACTCCTTACATTTTTACACAAATATCTGTACTTTCTACTCCTTACATTTTAAAAAATTGGCTCGTTACTTTAGTTTTGAATCATTTCAATGGAGTTACCGTTATTGTTTTTCACGTCATCAATACCAAATTCAATCTAATTGGATGGGAATCTACGTTGCATTTGACGCACCACTACAAGATGAATCGACAGATTCGGCGGTATTCATTCGCGGCAAATCATTGCAGCTTGGTGGCGGTGGCCATAGCATAGTAGCATGGACGACGAGATGATTGAAAATTAACACAACGGAGATTCCAGCGATTCGGCAGAAAAGCAGCAAGACATTCCTGATCACCCTTGGCCTTATCTGTTTGACATAGTAGGCATCAAGAATGACTCCTGGCGAATGTGCTACAAATTGTGCCAACCAAAACAACTGCTGGCTTTCAAGAATTCACCATTATCCTTTTTTTTTTCTTGTTCTTGTTGCCATGTTTGAGCACGCACACATACATGCAGAATCCAAATGTTAATGGCAAGATTAAAAAAGAGAAACTGGGTCTGTGAATTTTCACAAAATCACAACTGAATTTATATCTTGCTAATGAGTCAGAATCTTATTAACCTGGAGTCCCAGTCTCTGTTAGATAGTCATATATATATATATATATATATATATATATATATATATATATATATATATATATATATATATATATATATATATATATATATATATATATATATATATAAAATGTTTCAGTCCTATTGGCAGACATCCATTTAAAATGTAGGCAACGGCATGAAAAAAGTGGTTTCTACTTTTACTTTTATACTTTAAGTACATTTACAAGCCTGTACTTTGTTACTTTTACTTGAGTAAAGAAGTTTAATCAGTATTTCCACTTTTACCTGAGTATTTTTTAACACAAGTATCTGTACTTTTAGTCAAGTACGGAAAGTGAGTACTTTTGCCATCTCTGCCGCTGGACCATGTCCCTGATCTACAGGCTGGACGAGGTCCATGTTCCCTTGGTCTGAACTGATACAAGACAATTCAGAATAACACAATTACAGTTAAAAATAAGAAAAAAAACTCCATGATATTATTTATAGTACATATTATCTACCTATCTGCTCATATTAAGGTCACACGCTTAATTTAAGACATGATGAGTCTTTCTCTGACAGGCTTCCTGTGATTGGTGGCAGTAAAGGAGGGTTTCTGTTGGTGGGCGGCGAGGGGAACGCCCTCACAGCACTAAAGCCTTTCTGTTTGACTGAACGCAGAACAATGGGCTCCACCGCAGGAGAGTGGGAGGCTGATTACTGCTCAGACACTCCGCTGCTCCACAGGCAGGGAAGGAAGATCTGCTTCCCAGGAGGAGATGCTAGACTAAAGAACCAGAATGGTTAGCCTGAGAATCTGGGTCAGGACCCTCATGAAAGGAACTCTTCATCATCCTCTTCCTCTGCTGGGGATGGGGGTGGGGTGGGGGTGGCAGAGCCCATCAGTGATGGCACCTTCAGCCTGGTGGACATCTGGTATCCAACAGGTTTCTCCGTCTCTCCTCCAGGCCAGATGATCTTCCTCTGAGGGTTCATCACCACCTGCAGACACAGATACAGGTTCAGGCTGAGGAGCCGCCGCAGGCCGCAGCCTGAGCAGGCCGCAGCCTGACGCAGGCCGCAGCCTGAAGCAGGCCGCAGCCTGAAGCAGGCACTAAACGACGCCATCAATACAGGATGTGAGCATGAATGTTTAAGGAGGCTGAGAGGCTCAGCCTGCGGCTCCTGTTCCAGAGGAGATCCAGCTCCAGGCTCTGCAGCTTCAGGTGCTCCTGGCTCAGGGTCCGACCCGGGTCCCTGACAGCTTCAGCCTCCATCTCCTCATACCTGGCAGGGTTAGGGTTACCAGCTAGATCTGAGCTGCTCCGTCTCCTGGAGCTAAATAATGCTGACCCAGCTCGGATTTCCCAGCATGCACTGGGAGCACAGATTCAAACCGACCAGGATGCTCACGCTCAGATATTTACATACACATGAAAAGCTGCCTCTGACTCCACCAGCTGGAGATCTATCATCCATCCACCATCCATCCATCCATCCATCCATCCATCCATCCATCCATCCATCCATCCATCCATCCATCCATCCATCATCCGTCCGTCCGTCCGTCCGTCCATCATCATCCATCCATCATCCATCCATCCATCCATCATCATCATCCATCCATCCATCCATCCTCTTCCATATATCCAGGTTCGGGTCACTGTGTTAGCAGGAGGTCCTTACCTGCGTGCCGTTGAAGACTCCAACCTGGACGACTCGACCTGCTTTCTGGTGGTTCAGGATGCTGTAGGTGGCAAAGCGGCGGTCGCCGTCGTCGTTAAACTCAATCCGTCCTGTGAGGCCGTCTGGGTACTTTGATGACATCAGCACCCTGATAAGCAAACCAGAGGACCATGGTGAGGGATAAAGATCTGCGGTTTGGCTGCAGGTCTCCATGGCTGTCTTTGAGGTCAGAGATGGGAGACGAATAGTGGCGGGAGTTTTTATTATTCCGGTTCTTTCTCCCTGACTTCACACTGAACCCACATCAGATCAGCCAAGCGTCTCCATATCCCTCTAACATCCATGTCCAGCTGATGGACAAGACTTGGCTGTAAGATTAAAACGATTAAACATTCCACAATGGACGTATTCATCAAACATGACACTATGAGGCCTTGGGGTGATAACAGCGGGGGGTCTGACACGCAGCTACTGGCTACAGATCAGAACTTCTCCATCACTGCACACAGTTTGGAAACTTCTCTTTCTTAGGTCCTCAGCTGGACAGTGCTGCTGATGACGACTAATTTTTCTTTAATTCTCTGGGTTTCTGGAGCTGCAGACCAAACTTCATGGCCCCTTCACACCTTGATGATTTAGACCAGCGTATGCCTGAGGAATGAAAAATCTGGCAAAAACGCTGGCATACGTTGGATAAGTCATGAGCACGCTGAAACATGCTGGGACAGGTCGACATACGGCAAGAACATCATGACGTCTGCCATATGTGGTCCGTCAGTTCCAGGTCAGTTATCTGATGGTTGACATCCGTTCAGTGTGAGTTCCTCATCAGTCGTGGCGTCTAGCTGATCCTAAACCTCTGAGTAACTTATCCAGAACTTCTCTCCAACATATCAGCGTATCTGCCGTGTTCCAGACGAGCGCTGAACCTGTTTCTAACTTCCAGCTACTGTATAATGGCGTATTGGCAGCGTTTTGGTATAAAGGGGGTTCACAGGAGGAAACCGTCAGTTCTCCTCCAGACTTCATCCCCATCATAGGGTGAGCCAGAAGGTGAGTGATGGATCCTCCCTGCGTTCACGCCCACCACCAACACACTTCCTAGCAGACATGACGCTCAATCTGCTGCTGCCAGAAACCTGCTTTCTTTCTTTTTTCTTTTTATTTCTTTTTCTTTTTTTTTTGGTAAACAGCAGTTAGGTACAACAGAGTATTAGGGCCAGGTTTGAGATTGTTTTATGAAGTAAAGTCGTAATATCCTGGGAATAAAGTTATAATATTATGAGAATGAAGTCGTAAAATCACAGAATGAAGTCATCTATATGTATATATATATTATCTCTTTTTATTCTTATTTTTTATCTTATTATATTGTATAGTTGAATGTGTGTATATATCATGTAAAACTGTAACTAGAGCGTGTAACAAAAGTAATTTCCCTCTGGGATTATTAAAGTATTTCTGATTCTGATTCTGATTCTGATCATACATCAACCCGTTTCAGAAATAAAGCTTGGAGCTCCGCCCATCAGATGACATCAGACCAGCTCCACCAATCAGCAACCAGAGTCCACTTTGACATCCTGCCCAGTTTGATGCTGCTGCTAAAAGATTTCCTGATTTGTCAAACCGATGCTAAAGTAGAACTTCACATGATGCTCCACATTCCTCATTTTAGGGAAGAAAGGGCTTCTTGGAAGAGTTGTCAGAAAATACAACTTTATTCACATAATTTTACGACTTTATTCACATAACTTTATGAATATTCTTGTTGTGACTTTATTCTTGTAATATTATTAATTTATTCTTATAATTTTACAATTTTATTCTCCTAATTTTATTACTTTATTCTGATAAAATTACGACTTTATTCTCGGACGCTGGATAAATCAGCAAGCTGTGACGGGGTCTAACATTTACAATTCAAAGACATTCCTCTGATAGTTTTGCTGCTGTTCGTCCGCAGTTTCATTTCTCCATTTTCCATTTCCGCCCTCACTGAAAATAATAGTAATGAAGCCAATAAACAATGGCTTAACAGAAAAAAGGTTTTGCTGTAAATGTTTGGAGTTCAGGCCCGGTTGAGAACCAGAACTCAGCTGAAAACCCTGAAACCTGCCGTCATCGCTGACAGACCGAAGCAGCAACCGAAGCTCAACCAGAGCGGAACTGGGTCGGGATAAACTCAAAGGCTTTAGTTTTAGAGGTTCTTGTGGCAAACTGGAAAAAAATCTTCAGAAACAAAAACTTGAGCTAAATAGACCAGCATGAGATGACCAATCAGAAACGGCAGTTGGAGCAGCGGTACCGACCGTTTGAAGAGCGGCCCGGTTCTCCAGATGTTGGTGTTCCCCACGCAGCCTCGAGGAGGCTCTGTGATGTTCTCCTTCTCAAACAGCTCCTGCAGAGACTGAGCAACCACGGCCACGGCGTCCGTGATGTGAGCCGACTCGTTCTTCCCGTTGATCAGCTGAAGACCCAGCAAGCCTGCACCGCGCACGCCGCACACACCAACACACACACCAACACACAGAAGGGAGTGAGGCTGGATTCACTGAAGGCTGCCCTCATTCACACACTCGGAGACACACTTTCATCCGGGGTAATTAACTTGGTGTAATTCAGACACACACTCTGGGGCTTCAGGCGTCAGGTCACTCTTCAGTTACACCAAAGTGCATGCTGGGAATTCACTTTCACAATCACCACCGTTTATCTCAGTGCAGAGAAAGCCCCACTGAGACATTACGAAGCGTCGCTGGTGATTTCCTTCTGCAGAGTCGTGTCAAACTGCGAAGAAAAGTGTCAACATCTGTCCTTCAGCTGAGCCTCTGCAGTCCGCTAACACTGTTAGCATCATCAAAGCTGCCTTAAAGTGTCTCTGAGCTCGAGAACATTTGATAAAACCAGACTTTGTTGTACAGGCCTGGATCATTTGGACTTTAGGCTAACTGCAGACACCCGCTAACTTTTCAAATGAAAATCATGCTGTCAGAAAGCGCTGCGGGTGTTACCAAAGTTAGGTTTGGTGCTGTCCGCTAAGACCCAGTTTACACGAAGGGAACACGCAAATATTTCCCCGCGGTTTGGCCTCTCGTTTAAACCAAAACCCCATTTTTATTAAAAGAAAACGATTATTTCTAAAACCTCCTGCCAAAGTGGAGATTTCTGATAACGCTGGTTATGTGTTGGCGTATCAACAGGGATGAACGGCGTTTTAGCTTCTTAAACCTAACAGCGTAATTATGCGCTTTGATATAAATGACAAGTTTATTGAAAACAATGTTGTGTGCACGATGTTATTATTGAAAACGGAGGGGGGGGGAATATTAGTTTCTCTAAATGTAAATGTTTCTCTATGTGTAAATGTGGCGTAAAGTTCCTCGAAAGTCTCGTTCGTGAGGTCGTCTCAAAAGAAAAGTCGCCCATATTCAGAATACAAACTTCTGAAAGTTCTTTAAATCTGAAATGATTCCATCCTGTTCAATAAATGATCAGTGTTTTTATTTAAGAGTAATTTTCATGTGAATGTGCTTTACTGGAGGCATCCATGTTTGTCAAAGAACTCTACTGCCACCTAATGGTTTGTGACGTCACGGTGCGGTATCGGCTGTATTGGGTAATACAGGCTAAAAAAAGAAGCCAAACGACCCCCATTCCAAAGCGGTGGACCCATTCTTTTTTTGAGGTTACGGGCGTTTTGAGGGTGATTGACAGGTCGAGTCGAGGGAGTTGGAGATGCATTGGAGGAAGAGAGAGAGAAATGGCGCAAAAAATGTCCTTTTCCAGGACCTGCTTTAGCTCCAAGGCTAGGCTAACTGCATGCAGCGAGGCTAACTGCATGCAGCGAGGCTAACTGCATGCAACGAGGCTAATGCTGTATCCTGCTTTCCCTGCCTCCTTTTTCAAAGTAAACCTGAACATGAAATTATGTTTTTTTTTAAATAAGTGCTTTTGTTGTTGTTTGCATTCATATAAATATGCTGGTGTGATAACGTAATATACGATTGGCTTTTGGTATACGTCTATTTTCAATTTATAGCCCCACCCCGGGAGAACTTAACCAGCCGCCACTGCTCTGAAATATGTATTAATTCACACACACCATAAAATAATAAGACAGCTCCCTGTGTAGAAACATGCTAACTGCTATTTTTTTACACAGCTGCCATAATATCAGTCTACACGCCTGATTTCTGGGAACAGTCCCTTGGTTTTTGACAACCTGAAATCAGGGACACCTGATTACCATAGACTAAAACAGAACAGGCTCCTCATGCTAACATTACAACTTGCTAAACAACAAGCTTACAATCAAACAGATTAATATCCATTTAGAACAGGCGGACGGGTTGTTCCAATGAATCACGTATTAAAACATGTTCTGCAGAGACGGGGAAAACTGCCTTTACTAACAACCGATCCTAACACTGCTAGCATGCAGTTGTGGCTACATTATCTGAAGCACTAAATGTAGAGGCTTTTTTCCTTCATAATTTGACACAAGTCTGTTAAAGAACAACAGCAACCGCGCCCAAAATGTCCCAGTCCGGCTTCACATGTTTCTTTTCAGGAAACTGCTTCAGAAACTGGAAGGGTTTACACAATAATAAAAACACCAGGACCAAATCTGCTGCCATTAAACTAATATCAACGAATTCAAACATTCCTTCCAAGAGTTTTGATAAAAGATTTTTTTTTTAAAACCTTCTTAATATGTTCATATGTTGAAGACAATTCATTATGAAACAGCCCTCTTTTGAAAACTGTCAAATTTGATAATTTGTAATATTTTCCTGTAGAGAAACCTGCTGAAAACCGAGACAAACAGAAGTTCTAACAGACTTTTAAGATTTTTTCCTTCACATTTGTTTGGATGTGAAAAAAAAAAGTTTATTTCTGGGAGTGCAGCAGCCGGTTGGTGAGGATGTTTTCTAGAGGGATTAAAACCACAAACAGACAGCAGAAGCAGATCACACAGCAGCCAGAGATCCCATCAAAATAGCCTAGAATGAGAACCTCAGTGTACCGGAACATCATTGGACACCAGGGTACCATGACATCCCTGGACAACAGGGTATTAGGACGTCAATGGACAGGACATAGTCGGAATCCAAGGTACCAACATACCTTTGGACACCAGGGTTCCAGGTCATCAATGGACACCAAGGTACCAGAAAATCATTGTAGCCAAGGTACCAGGACATAATTGGACACCAGGGCACCAGGACATTATTGGACACCAAGGTACCAGAAAATCATTGAAGCCAAGGTACCAGAATATCATTGGACACCAGAGAACTACTGTATTATGGGACCAGACTACCAGGATATCATTGGACACCAAGGTACCAGGAAATCATTGACACCAATGTACCAGGATATCATTGGTACCCAGATATGGAACACCAGGGACAATAGTATCATGGGACCAGGCTACCAAGATATCACTGGACACCAAGGTACCAGTATATCAAAGGACATCAAGATACCGGGACATCATTGGACATGTGCATACCAGGACATTATTGGAAACCAAGGTACCAGAAAATCATTGAAGCCAAGGTAACAGAATACCATTGGACACCAGGGAACCACTGTATTATGGGACCAGGCTATCAGGATATCACTGAACACCAAGGAAGGAGGAAATCATTGACACCAAGGTACCAGGATATCATTGGAAACCAGGGTACCAGGACATGGAACACCAGGGAACCAATGGGTATTATGGGACCAAGGTGCCAGGATATCACTGGACAACAAGGTATCAGAACGTATTTGACACCAAGGTTACTAGAACATCTTTGGACACCAAGGTACCAGCACATCACTTGACACCAAGGTACCAGTAAATTGTTGATGCCAAGTTAACAAGATATCACTGGTCACCAGGAGATCAGGACACCAGGATACCATTGGAGACCAGGGAACAAGGACATCTGTGTACACTAAGGTACCACAACATAATTGGACATCAAGATACTAAGACATCAATGGAAACCAGGGAACGGGGTCATCATTTGAGACTAAGGTTCCCTGAAATAATTGGCACTAAGGTACCTCAACATCACTGGACACCAGTGTACAAGGACACCATTGGACTCCAATATAAAAGGATATCATTGGACACCAGGGTAACAGGACATAGTTGGGATCCAATGTACTGATATATCATCGAACACCAGGGTTCCAGATCATCAATGGACACCAGGGAACCAGGATATCTTTGGATACCAATGCACCAGGAAATCACTGGACACCAGGGTACCAGGACATTACTGAACAACAAGGTACCAGGATATCAATGGACATTAACGTACCGGGACATCATTGAGGACAAAGGTACCAGGACTTTTTTTCCAGCTTTTTTATTGTCATTGCACTGTCACAATTACAGAGAAATAAAATGAATGAGCAGTGGGCTGCCATTGTGCAATGCCTTTGGAGAAGTGTGCGGTTAATGGTCTTGCACAGGGACCCAGAGTGTCAGTCCGTGGGAGTGGAGCTTGAACTCAGAACCTCTGGATTCCAAGTGCAATGCCCTAACCAATAGGCCACACTCACCTAGTTGGAATTACAGGTACTAGTATATCATTGGACACCAGGGTAGCAGGACATGGTATAATGGGACCAGGGTACCAGGACATTACAGGACATTAACCTTGAACAATGGAGGGTCCCAGGACATCAATGGACACCAGGGAACAAGGATATCACCAGACACTAAGGTATTACAACGTCAGAGAGGCATTGTACTGGAGTGTGAGTGGGTCAGGTTACCGCCTCAGGCAGGATGGATAATCAGCCCCATGTTAATTTGTTTTAGTAGGTTTTAGATTCACCCATCAGGATGTTCTCTGCAGCTGTTCCTGCTACCTTGGGATGTTCTGGCTATGGTGTCAAAAGCAAGGCCAAGATGGCTGGTTCGAAGTTTAAGGTTTTGGATAAATACGCTCATGGGAAGCTGACATTCTGTCTGAGGGGAGCTTTAACAACAGGTGATCTACTGGCTGTCTGCATAATCAGCTGACTCAATAAGCCACACCCCCAGCTTCCACGTCGCAGAAGTGGATGGGGCCTTTATTGAATGCATCAGGCACATAACAGGAAGCAGCGGAGGCATCTTACCCATGTTTGATTCGACACACATCACTGTAACAAACCCCACCCGCATCCACAAACAAACCCCTTGCCCACCCACACATACTGCCCTCCCACGAATTGGCCCCTGTGATTGGCTGTGAGAACGGGCAGACGACATACACTATAGAATGAAACAAAAAGATGTTAGACACATTTAAAGCCACAGTCACAGCGAAGAACTGCCGGTTGGGAACCTTTAAACACGTCCACACCTCCTCCTGATGTTTAAACGTTCAACCAGCTGACAGGAGAACCAGAGAGAAATACACCAAGAAGCTCAGTGACAGAGAGGAGGACGAGGAGCACCCTTAATCAGAGGCCCTCAGCCCTACCAGAGACAGAGCAGCTCTGTTTTCATCCAACCATAGAGGACACCACAAAGGAGGACATCCAGCAGAACCAGCCGCGTCCTCACATGACGTCAAAATGGACCAGCTTCACCAATGTCCATCGAACATCTGAGGAAAATTCAAAACCTCACTGATCCACCTAAACATCTAGAAAGAGGAAGCTGCTGACTCACTAACCGACGGGTCTCTGGTTCCTGGGTGTTTCCTGCCTGCAGTGAGGAACCCAGAGCAGAACCCAGAGTCTGAACCTCGAACAGTTTGGGACAAGGATACAACTAATTGGGTCAGAACCTTCTGGTGCTCTCACAGGTTTTGGTTGGGTCTCTGCAGTGTAAACAGGACCTTAAGGTTTAGTTTCTCCAGAACCATCCAGAGATGAAATCCACTGTGAGTGGATCAGAGAGTGGGCGTGTCTCTCTGCACTGGGCGCTCTGATTGAGCAGAAACCTGTCATTCCTTCAGCACAGGGAGACAGGAAGACCAAGGATTGGATGGAGACCTTGTCCAAATCAAAACGGTATTGAATATTTCACCGAGTCAGAACCATCATCACACTCAAACCTAAAATTCTGGAAAACCTCTGGAAAACTGATCTAAATCATAACTGGGTCGAACCGAGTCCAACTTCCTGTGACCCGATAGAACTTGGTTCTGATGGCTCTGGTTATTCAGGCAGTTGATGAATCTGCAGAATGGTAGAAGGAAACGTTCTGGACTCTATGGTTTGGACCCATTACTCCTAACCTGCATAGTTATGCTTCTGAAACCAGGGCTTCTGGCCGGGTTCTGCAGCCCTCGCTGGCTGCTGAGGAGCTAAGCAACTATTCATTCAGATGTCCTGGAGGCACAAGGATGGCCTGCATGGGATTCATCCTTGGCCCCTCGTTTCTGTTCTCATTGCTTCCTCCCTCCTTACTGCACCAGAAGTCCCTCCCTTTGTCCTGCTCCCCACCTGTCTATCTTCAGATCCTCCACTCCTGCTGATTCCATGCTTCCTCCTTTTTCTCTATGGACTCTTAAGTCTCCCTGAAAGAACTCAAGATCTTCAACTTCTCTTTTAGTCAGAAGCAAACAAGTTTCTGCTCCCGGTGAACCATCAAGCCCAAACAACCACGGCAGAAACAATTCCTAGAGGTCAGGCTGGCTAGAGCCCAGCTGCTTGTCTGCTGAAGATCAGAGCTTCAGCCTGGGGGTTGGATGGAATCAGAGCTGGAGAAAGACAGATAGAGAGGGACAGAGAGGAAGAGGTCGATCAACACGTTACCATCAGGAGCTTCGCTTAAAGCTTTCCCGCTCATCTCCCGCTCTCCCACCAGCCAGACGTAGCCAGAACCGGTCATATTAAGCTGCCGGGCCGCTTTGTACACAGCAGCAGCTTCATCCTCGCTGCAAACAAACCATTAGAGAAGAAGTAAACAGACAGGAAGTAAACACACGATAACAGGAAGTTAAATGACATAGACAGGAAGTATGTAATCACAGGAAGTAAATTGACAGACAGGAAGTAAACTCACAAAGACAGGAAGTAAAAAAATCAAAGAAAATAAACTGACACAGACACACATGGTTTATCAAAAGTCCATGAAATGAGTCGACATTCATTAATACTATTTCAGTATTGATATTAATTAGTATGACTAGAGTCACTTGGAAAACCTTAAAGTGATTGCTGTAGCTATCTGACCGTCTTCTTCTTCTATTGGTTTAAAACTGGGACATAAGAACGCGCAAGTACACAGATTGAGAAATGGCCCAAGTGAAAAATAATCTTCTCATTATTGTAGTTGTTGGCTCAGTTCGGATTTTCATGCCTTACCTGCCTTAGAAACTGTAATTCAGTTTTTAACATTATTCTGTTACTGCTTAACCTGTTTAGGGCATTACCACCAATGGTAATGAGGTCAGATCTAAACATCTTACCACAACCCCCGCCCCCTGCCCCAAACTGTTACTGCCGAGTGAAGTCAGACCACCACTGCAGCTGTCTGCTGGTGATGTGGTCACCGGGTCACCAAGCTGCCATCAAGTTTCAGGTGTTTAGTTGTTTTATCCAGGTGCTAAACCTCAACAGTTCTTCTATCTCTACGCGTTCCTCAGGGTTCCTCTCACCTGGCTGACAGGATAATGACTCGAGCCTCCAGGTCTTTAGCCTCCAGCAGCAACGCAGTCAGGTTGGTATCCTGGGTGAACAGCAGCACCTTCTCAGCCTGGAGGAGCGTGCCGCCAAAGGACCGGAACCACCGAGGGACAGGGAGAGACACGGCAGAATACAACACCACACAACACATCATAGGACAGGCATCATTAGCTGGGATAGTCCCCATTCAACCCCCCACCCCCCCTTCTTTCACCATGCTCCATCTCACCCATGCTACCACGGGAGGAGGGGGGTGGGGCAAAAAGATGGGGCAGAGAGAGTCAAAGATCTGCTGAACTGAAAGAAAACTCAAAGTCAAAGCCTGGATACAAATAAAGGAGGCCAAAAACTGCGTGGTGTGGTGGCACATGCAGACTGACTCCAACCAACCAACCAATCAGGGACGTGCATGTTAGAGAGAGCTGATGCAACTGCAAATAAAAAAAAAAGGTTCGAGTGGAGAGAAGAGGGATAGGGAGGGGGGAGGGGAGGGGGAGGAGAGAGTGGTTTGTCACTCAAAAGGAGGGAGAGGATCCTGAGGGCAGAGCATCAGCCTGGCTGCATGCAACCCTCACAGGGAAGAAACCTGGGGGAAGGAGGGGAGGAAGGGGGGGGAGGGGGGAGGAAGGGGGGGGGGGGGGGGGCGTCTCTCCTGGCAGTGTGAACCCATTCTCTGTGTGCAGGAATCATGAAAAATCAAAAGAAAGTAAAGAGATGGTGGAGAGAAGACGTGCCACCAGGACAGGAGTCTATCTCTGGAGCCGGGTTGGATTCTGGGTGGGTGGGCGGGGCTAACTGGTGTTTGTCTACTACTGGGCGAGCTCAGAGATTGGTTGGGCGGCGTGCATCATTTCACCATGCAAGTATATACCTTGGGAGTTCTCCTGAAGTCAAAGTTCTGTTGGTCGAGGTTTTCATAGTTCCTGTTTTTAGTCTGATGGGTGATGTGCACAGAGAAAATATGCAGACAGAGATTATAGACAGTCGCAGCAAAGCATCCAACAAATGATTTCTTCTTCTGCTTCTAGTCAGGAGGCTCAGAGGCAAACACACCACAGACCCCTGGCTGACTGTCCGACTGTCCGTCCTCTCACTGGACTCCGACATAGCCACCAACATGGCTTCTAACATGGCCTCCAACATGGCCTCCAAGTTGGCCGGGAACATGGTCTCCAACATGGCCTCCAACATGGCCACCAACATGGCCACCACCATGGCCTCCAACATGGCCTCCAACATGGCCAGCAACATGGTCTCCAACATGGCCTCCAACATGGCCACCAACATGGCCGCCACCATGGCCTCGAACGTGGCCTCCAACATGACCACCAATATGGCCTCCAACATGGCCACCACCATGGCCGCCAACATGGTCTCCAACATGGTCTCCAACATGGCCTCCAACATGGCCACCAACATGGCCGCCACCATGGCCTCCAACGTGGCCTCCAACATGGCTGCCAACATGGCCACCAACATGGCCAGCAACATGGCCACCACCATGGCCTCCAACATGGCCTCCAATATGGCCACCAACATGGCCGCCACCATGGCCTCGAACGTGGCCTCCAACATGACCACCAATATGGCCTCCAACATGGCCACCACCATGGCCGCCAACATGGTCTCCAACATGGTCTCCAACATGGCCTCCAACATGGCCACCAACATGGCCGCCACCATGGCCTCCAACGTGGCCTCCAACATGGCTGCCAACATGGCCACCAACATGGCCAGCAACATGGCCACCACCATGGCCTCCAACATGGCCTCCAATATGGCCTCCAACGTGGCCGCCACCATGGCCGCCAACATGGCCTCGAACATGGCCACCAACATGGCCTCCAACATGGCCACCAACATAGCCACCAACATGGCCTCCAACATGGCCTCCGACATGGCCTCCAACATGGAGCTCTGTCTATGTTTGATTTAAATTTGCTGAGATAATTCCATGTTAGTTGTCTTACTTTTTTGTTTTTCTTTTATTGCAATTGATCTTTATCTGTTCATGTACACCTTTGCTATCCTCTGTGAGAGATTTTTTTCATGTAAATGTTTATGATTTAATAAAGATTTTTTTTAAAATGGCCTCCAACATGGCCGCCACCATGGCCTCGAACGTGGCGTCCAACATAGCCTCTAACATGACCACCAACATGGCCTCTAACATGGCCGCCACACTGGCCACCAACATGGTCTCCAACATGGCCACCAACATGGCCTCTAACATGGCCGCCACACTGGCCACCAACATGGTCTCCAACATGGCCACCAACTTGGCCAGCCACATGGCCTCCAACATGGCCTCCAACATGGCCACCAAAATGGCCGCCAACATGGCCGCCACCATGGCCTCGAACGTGGCGTCCAACATAGCCTCTAACATGACCACAAACATGGCCTCTAACATGGCCGCTACACTGGCCACCAACATGGTCTCCAACATGGCCACCAACTTGGCCAGCCACATGGCCTCCAACATGGCCTCCAACATGGCCACCAAAATGGCCGCCAACATGGCCTCCAACATGGCCACCAAAATGGCTGCCAACAGGGCCTCCAACATGGCCTCCAACATTGCCACCAACATGGCCTCCAACATGACCTCCACCATGGCCACCAACATGGCCACCAACATGGCCTCCAACATGGAGCTCTGTCTATGAGTTAAATGTTTTCTGAGATAAATCTCATGTTAGTTGTCTTACTTTTTGTTTTTCTTGTATTGCAATTGATCTTTATCTGTTCATGTACACATTTGCTATCCTCTCTGAGAGTATTTTTTTCATGTAAATCTTTATGACTTAATAAAAAAAAAAAGAATGGCCTCCAACATGGCCTCCAACATGGCCACCAACATGGCCTCCAACATCCTAACACTCAGAATCTGGACCAGAATCCTCAGAATAGGAAGTGTTGGCCTGGTGGTTAAAGCATTGCACTTGGGTTTTGGGGTTTTTGAGTTCAAGCCCCACTCCCACTGACTGCCACTCTCGGTCCCTGAGCAAGACCCTTAGCCCCTCACTGCTTGACGGGCGCCACACAATGGCAGCCCATTGCTCCCCAAGGGGTTGTGTTAAATGCAAAGAGTTTATTTTGTTGCTCCATACTGACATGACTGGCAATAAAGCTAAAAAACAGACAAAAAGACAATCTGGACCAGAACCTTCAGCTTCTGGAAAAAAAACCTTCATGTTCTTGATAAGAACCCTCAGAATCTGGACCAGAACCTTCAGCTTCTGCACAAGAACCCTCAGAATCTGGAGCAGAACCTTTAGAATCTGGACCAGAACCTTCAGCTTCTGGACAAGAACCCTGAGAATCTGGACCAGAACCTTCCGAATCTGATCCAGAACCTTTAGCTTCTGCACAAGAACCCTCAGAATCTGGAGCAGAACCTTTAGAATCTGGACCAGAACCTTCAGCTTCTGGACAAGAACCCTGAGAATCTGGACCAGAACCTTCCGAATCTGATCCAGAACCTTTAGCTTGTGGACAAGAATCCTAAGAATCTGGACCAGAATCTTTAGAATCTGGACCAGAACCCTCAGGATCTGGAACAGAACCTCCAGCTTCGGGACAAGAACCCTCGGAATCTGGACCAGAACCTTCAGAATCTGAACAAGAATCTTTAGAATCTGAGCCAGAACCTTCAGAATCTGGACCAGAACCTTCAGCTTCTGGACAAAAACCTTCAGCTACTGGACCAGAACTTTCAGAATCTGGACCAGAACCCCCACCTTCTGGGCAAGAACCCTCAAAATCTGGACCAGAACCATCATCTTCTAGACAAGAACCCTCAGAATCTGAACCAGAAGCTTCAGAATTTGGACCACAACCCTCAAAATCTGGACCAGAACCTACAGAATCTTGACCAGAACCTTTAGATCTGGACCAGACCCTTCAGTTGGTGTAGAGGCAGACAGAATGATTCCTTACTTTTTTCTGACTAAGATGATGTTGAATCAACTGCAGTACCCACTGCTCAACATCAAGGGGGCAGCACTCATAATATTACGACTTTATTCTCGTGATATTACGACTTTATTCTTGTGATATTATGATTTTATTCTCGAAAAAAAAAAATCTCTAGTCTGGCCCTAATACTCCATCCCTGTATCCAGTCATCGGAGGGTTTTTCTTTCTCCTCTCTGCACTGGACCAACCCAGGAAGCCGTCTCTGCAGTTGTGTCTGGCGTGCTCCGGATCAGTTCTGCGTACCATTTACACTCAACAGTTATCTCTGTTACCGTGCTCGGACTGATCTCGGCACGGTTCCACAAAGGTAGTGGAAATGAGGCTTCAGTCAATTAAAGAGCAGAGTCAGACCCTGAGGATAAAACAGACCGACCGCCTGATGTGCCCGACCCACTAACAGGTGCCATCAGAATCAGGGACAGTCACTTCACCTGTCAGTGGTCTTAACGCTCTGCCTGATTGGTGCTTTTTCATTCTATTTAAGCCTTTGAAATGTTTCAAAATAAAAGCCTGTCAGAACACAGAGGGCTCAGAGGTCCATAAGAACAGGGCTGGTACTGGTCCTCAGAACCAGGAGGAAACACAGCAGCCTTTATAGCGGTGTCCTTCCTGTCAGTATTCCTCCACCTGCTGCCTGGTTCTTGTCCAACCAGTGATCCCCGTCCCTGGTAGCTCCTCCCCCCGTCTCTGTTCCATTTCATTGCGGTCCATTCCTCCTGGTAGATGCTGGACATGGTTCAGTGTTTACTGCTGGTGGCGGTGTGTTTCTGTGTTCCCGGGGCTACTGGGATATTTATGAGCTTACATCCCAGAGACAACAGCTGAGCTCAAGCTGTGCTCACCTACTTTAACTAATGTGCTGGAATATTCATGACTCCCCTCCCTCTTTAAAAAGTCTCTCTAATATTCATCACTTCGGCGGCCTTATTCCGACCTAAGGAAAAGTTCTGTCCTGTTTCTATCAGAGCAGTTATTCTTCACTCTGACCAAACCATCCCTGACCTCCACTTGGCCACCAATGAGGGTTAGAGCTGTTTGTTTCACAAACCATCATCTGGAACATCTGACAAGATAATAGGAGGTTTCATCCTGACCTGCTGGATCAGGATCGGTACAAATCAGCACAATGCAGCTCCTCCTGCCCCGCCAGGCAGCAGCAGCTCAGGTCAGGCCTCAGTCTGCACTCAGCAGCTGGTTGACCTCTTCCTGTCTGCATTCTCATAAGCAACTACCACACAAAGCGGAGGTGATGGACAGTCAGCCAGAGCCCTGAAGCTGAGGTGTGTTTGCACGGCTCTGATCTCCATCAGAGTCGAGGTGATGAGAAACCAGAACACAGATGAAGACCTGAAAACATGCCATGAATCAACAGACAGGAAGAGAGCGAGGAAGAGGAGGAGAGAGAAACCAGCTCAACTGAAAAGTAAACCAAGAAAAATAAAGGCACTCAAACCGCCACCAAGAATGAAATAATTTCCGCTCTTTCTCACCACATCTGTACTGTACCTGGACCCACCGGCTCCAGTACGAACCACCCAATTAGCAGAATACAGCCTGTAAAGGGAAACTGAACTGAACCTGAAGGTCCAAAAGACCAGTCTGTCTTGATTTGGGACCAATGTGTTCCAGTACAGACCACAGCTGCTCAAGTCTAGTTCAAAAAGTCCAGAAGAAAGGGTCCAAGACCAGAGTCAAAACCAGCTAGGTCCAGTTTAAACTGCAGCCATGGAGACAGGAACACTAGCCAGAGTAGTTAGAGAATGTATTACCAGGCAAAAACACCATGCTTTGAGACATCAGCACCATGGACAGAGCCTGAAATGGAAATATATCTTCACTTATTTGTAAAAATCCTAAATGTTTGTGGAGGTGAAAGAATCTTTAGACCCAGGTGGGAATTAAAACCAGTGGATATATGAAACTTATAAAAAAACTGATATCATCAGGAAGTTC